TATGGATATCACCCTCGTTGGGCTGAAGAGATAAAGGCTAGCGAGGTCGAAGTGCCCGCTGCTACGGTGGTGGTAAAAGATTTGACTGAAATACACAAAGATTGTATCGAAGGAATTGAGAAAGCTAATGAGAAGTACGCCGAAGGATACAATAGGAAACACCGGACTACGCCGAACTTCGCGGAAGGAGACCTAGTGATGCTGTCGTTAGAGAATATTAAGACGAAGAGACCAATGAAGAAGTTAGATGTTAAGCAAAGTGGGCCGTACAAGGTAGTACGGCAGGTAGGTTCTCATGCTTGTAAATTGGAATTACCAGGAACGATGGCAGGTATCCATGATGTATTCCATGTCTCCTTGCTCCGTCCTTATCACCCTCCAATATTTCCTGGTCAGCAAGCTGAGCCACCTGGGCCAGTAGAAGTAGACAATGAGGGAGAGTCTTGGGAGGTAAAGGATATTGTGGACTCTAGAGTAAATAAGAGGTCAGGAAAGTTAGAGTACTTGGTAGAGTGGTTAGGTTACGAAGGAACAGACGATTCAGTATCATGGGAACCAGTGGAGAACGTCGATGGAGCTGATGACATATTGGCGAAGTTCCACGAACTTCACCCTACTAAGCCGAAGGAAGGGCGACTGCGAAGGGCTAGGAGATAGAACGTACTGCATACAACATAGGATTACAGCTACGTACCGCTCACTTGTCCTTACTCTTACCCTTACCTTTTCCTTTTCCTTTCTCCTTCGATCTACTCGGTCCCGCGGGATTGGTGTGGAGGCTACCGATGACCGAAGGTAGATCGAGAGTCTCAGACGGGAACGCAGTAGAGAGAGAAGCATTCCATGCCCGATTCATAGCCCCAAAGAAGTCACCGAAGTCCTGGACATCTCGAGCAGCTTGCATGCTCGGGGTCCTCCACAGAGAACGTATGGTCCGTAGACACTCGAAGGGAAGACTGAGGAGGTCGAGAGCAGTCTGGGCGGAAGCTGGGACACGAGAATTACTACGGCGACCTAACCAGTCAAGGGACGGTGGTGGCTCATACGCCATAGGAGTGACTAGGAAGGGGGTGTCGAACAGTCTTCGGCGAACATCGGCTATCTCAGTAAGGCTTCGGCGAGAGACGGCCGCTAACCTTGTCCTTGCTTCGTCGTCCAGAGCCCCAGTGTTGACTACATCTACTAACGCCGCAGTAAGATTGTTTAAAGCGTTAGCTTGACGAGAAGAGAAGTCAAGCAGGAGAGATGTATCATTTCGGGCGGCCTCAAGCTGAGTAGTGAGACCGAGGACGAGAGAACGATAAGTGGCGAATTCCTTTTCGTCCTCAGGAATACGGACGTCCAGGGAGATACGAGGGTGGACGAGGGACAACCGGGGAGCAGAGGGACCAGCACGCTGAGTATCTTCACCTTCCACATCACCATCATCGAAGGCAACCTCCTTCTCTTTAGATTTCCCTTTTGATTTCTTTAAAGAAGACTTCGGTGTCTTCTGGGAAGCAGAGGGAGGGGTGACGGGAGGGGCCGCCGAAGCGGCCGGAGGAACGGAAGGACGCCGACTTCGGGTGCTGTGAGCCGGAGGAGAAGCTACCACTGGAGAGGACGGGCGTGGCGCCGAAGGACGAGAGGCCGAAGGACGGGAGGCCGAAGGACGGGAGGCCGAAGGAGCAGAGGCCGAAGGACGGCGAGAAGACGAAGGAGGAACAGCCGGGAGACGTGATGGGCCGGCCACAGGAGCGAAGGGCGACGGCGACGGAGGCGACGGGCGGAGGTCCGGCGAAGTACGGCGAACCGACCGGAGAGACGAAGACGGTACCCGCGAACGGGGGACAGACGCTGGAGTCTGGGGAGGGGGGAGAGGAGAAGCGTCGAAGGGACGGGGCGGGATGTCCCGGGCAGAGGAAACGGGACAGAAAGGAGCAGGGGCCAGACGTGCATGAAGCACAACGGAGGGCCTTGTTGTGTGGCCTGACTGCCTTGAGGCAGGGCCAGTTTGGACGATTATACGTGATAATCTCACGTCTACTAATTAGCAGGAGTAACTTCGGCGTAGTACGAATAGGTGGACTCACCGGCAACGATCACACGCTTCGTCAACACCAACCGCGATCCAACGACCAGGCTCGGACTTCATCTTCTCCCACAAGTACTCTTCTTCCCGCAGTGATCTCTTCACCCGTTTGGGCGAAGGCTCCCCTCTGGGAGAAGGGGGGGGAACAGCGACGGGGGGGGCGGCAGCAGGACCGGCAGCAGGACCGGCGGCGGCGGCGGCGGCGGCAGAGCGGGCGGCGGCAGCAGCGGCGGCAGCGGCGATGGCGTTGGGGGGGGGGAGAACCCCGGAAGAGGAAGAAGAAGAGGAAGAAGAAGAAGAGGAAGAAGAAGAAGAGGAGAGGGAACGGCGTCGTTTCTGGCCCACAATTTGAGCAGGGGGAGGGGCAGGAGCGGCTGCGAGTTAGCAATGTCTTGGAGAGCTAAAGAACAGATAAACAAGGCCAAGTTCGGCGAAGGTATAGGAGGTTGGGCGAAGAACTCACACTCAGGACTATCAACATTGTTATCCTCTACACTAACCGCCACCATATCATCATCTGAGATATCTTCTAACTCAGTTTCACCCTCACGATCCTGATCCTCCTCATCACTATAATCACCCCCCTTTCCTTCGAAGTCTGACTGATCGTCCGACTCCGAACCACTGAGCGACTCCTGGTCGGAGGAGGACGGAGACTCACCAGGACGAAAGGCGGGCGTCCTGCGGCGAGGGCTGGCGGCAGGAGGAGAAGCGGAGGGAGAACGGGCGGGAGAACCGGCAGGAGGACTGGCGGGAGGAGAAGCAGAGCGAGGAGGCGAGGCGGCGCCAGACGGTTCCCCCAGGGAAAGAGTGCCGAGGCCAAGAGAGGAAACTTGGCGAGACCTATCACCGAAGGAAACTGAACGTCAGCCAAGTGCGGCGAAGTGCGGTAGGTACAGGGGAAAGACTCACGAGCAGACGACACCACACCACCAAAGTTCCTCATGGCGGCGAAAGGGTTAGAGGTGGGAGTAGGAGGGGCCATGACGTTTAAAATACTTAAAGAAATAAAAGATGATACGTCGAGGTAACAAATCCGTTTTCTAAGCGCGAGAGATAGAAAGTTTTGAAAACAGATGGGGAAGAGAGAGAAGGACGATGAACTGCTCAGTACTTAGTATAACTCGAGTTACCCCTCCGTCGTCAACATGCGGCATCCTTCGCGTTTCATCAACAAAAGGCATCGCAGGGACGATCAAAATTCCCACGCTATAGTGTCTCATCTCAATATAAACGAGGGTTACTTCGACAAACTACGGTGTTGTTCGGCTGCCATTCACGAAGCGTGTCTCACCTACAAAAGACACAGGGCTTCTTACGGCAAACCTCGACGAAGTTAGGGGAGTCTCATTGTCGGGTTCTGGAGTGAAAGGAGGCCCGACTACGAAGTGCGGCGCAAAGAACAGAAGAGTGAAGGTTGGTCGTGGGGAGGGAGAGAATGGGGGTACTACGCTGCTAAGTTCTCTTGCCACGACAGAGGTGTAATCGCTCACGAGGACGTTCGCGGCTAAAGAAGGGGGCGACTGTCACGAACTACGTCGTGACACCTCGATTACTCCACCAACAATGACCCTCCTTTGGCCATCAAAACCCCATCACGCCTTAACCTCTTTACTCTACACGTAACTCAGGACTTCTGACACCAAGTACGGCGAAGTTAGACGGAATTAGGCTAAGTAGGGACAATGGGAGCAGAAGTGCGGCGATGTTAGGCGGAGTTAGGCTAAGTAGGGACAATGGGAGCAGAAGTGCGGCGATGTTAGGCGGGGTTAGGCTAAGTAGGGACAATGGGAGCAGAAGTGCGGCGATGTTAGGCGGAGTTAGTCGAAGGAGGAAGAGGATGGCCGAGGGCTCGGGGAAGTTGGACGAAGTGCGTTGAAGTACGTCAAAGCGCGAGAGGGTTGGATGAAGGTCTAGGAGGAGTAGATAATATTAGCTGAGAAGATCGCTGAAGTTCTTCAGCGATCCTTGATTGTTGTCAGTAGTAAAAGACAGATAGAGATAGCTATAAATCAAGATACATCGCCATCAGTAGATCAAAACCCTAGTTAGAGTAACTACGCCGAAGTACGCCGTAGTTACACCCCTTTCGAAGTCTGCGCCCTCCTGGTTGGGTGAGACATCGACTCAGAGCGTGAAGTTAGCCGAGGTTCGTCGACCGTCGGTCTATTAAGAAGTAGTTGTTCGACGGCCGTGACAAGGTGTCACGACATAGTTAGTGACACTATCCCTGAACGCTCACGAGATCATAGAGAGCACACAAAGAAGTGGGATGTTTATGACTGGTACCATATCCGTACTTTGCATTATTGATGATACTCAAAATCTCTGCTCACAACAGCACACTCAAATACTGACAAGCGAACTGAAGATCTTGCTTATCTGTGTCACTCATGGCCATATGAGCTATCCTGTGGAAGGGAACTGAGGGCCCTATCATACAATGGTGAAACCCATCCCATACTGTATGTTCCAGCAGCCAGGCTGAACTGACACATGTCATAGATATTGAAGCAGGAAAGGCTCGATGCTGGGTACGTTTCAAGTTTGTTGGACAAGTCTGGCCAACGAAACCCGTGCGTAAGACCAAGACATCATCACCTTTCCTGCTCCACTCTTGTGCCCTTATCCAGGGAGTTTCATGTGTGATCTCTCCCCACTATCTACGTTTCATGTGAAAAGATTGACATGGGTGAGCTTATCAAAGGAACAGACCAAGAGTCAAAGGGAAAAACACAATGCTCTTATGATGTAACGTGTTTTGTTTGGATATTTACATCACATGTGCATGATAGAGCATCTACAACTTGAGGAGTGAAAGGGAAATGTCGGCTGTCTACTGTATATTAGGGGTGGGGTCAGACGCGCCCCTCTAAATTCACATCACATCATCTTCCATAGATACAGGCAACAATATCATTGACCCGCACCAAACCACTCCACAACATTGACAGCCAACACACCAAATAACAAACCAAGGAACATAATGACAAACAATACTGAACACGCCACCTGGACGGTCTCAGCTACCTCTTGTATTACTTACACAAGAGATACTGTCACTTTTAAAGCTGCTTGGTCTCTCAAACCCACTGGCAATACAAATGTAGCTACTGAGGCTCCTACTGATACACAGCTAGAAGAAGTCAGAGGAGAGATAGACTTGCTCCATCAAAGTGAGGTCCAAAATTCTGCATTCTACGTGGAAAAAAAATTCATCAGGTCAGACAATCCTGAAGAGTCAAAACGGCTTTGGGAAGCGCAAGTGTCACAAGACTTCTTACGAAGTTTTGCGAAGACAGAAATACCTGGTCTAACAGTGGTGGTTGTGGAGGAGGATCAAGCTCTACTTGATCTAGTAGCAGCGGAAGCAGATGCAGAGAATAACAGATATTTTGAACAGACACATAGTCTGAAATGATGCACATGCGGACTGATGGACGGGAGGACATTCATCGGGAGAGGGAGAGCGGGAGAAATTCTCAATGAAGGCGTCTTATGTTTTGTCTCATGTGAGAAACACCAATCTTCTCGAGGGGCTGGGAGGGGTCTGGGAGGGGTAACAGATGTGGTGATGAAGGTTTGATATTGGTGGAAAATCAGAGATGCATCAATGAAAACTACAAAAAGAGGGAAGCAGTCCATTTTCACCCCATGTTAGCACTATTGCTATTGTTGGCACGGCTTGATACTGTATTTGACTACCCACATGTCAAGACGGCTAGGACTGTGCTTATGTACCCTGAGCAAAGAGATGAAACGAGATGAAACGAGATGAGCAGGCAGCCTATTGAGTTTGACTGGGCAAAAGGCCAGTAGAAGAGGATGAGAATGTACCTCCCAGCTGCACCTTGTATGGGACAGATCTTTTCTTTGAGAAACCTTTATGCAGGGGCTGACAACCATGAAGATGCACAGTCATGCAATACTAAAATTGTATGTGGCACGTAGAGACAATCCACAATTGCTCTCCCATGATCCAATTATGAAACATGCTCATGAACCGGTACCCGTTTCAGAGATAACACATGTGGTGTAAGGTCACGGATGGATCAGAGGATGAGTCGTTTCAGTCATTGGAGCCCACTAACAGGAGTACGATGATGATGGTGCAGGATGAAATCGATTGCTTGTCTGACTTTCAAGTGTGGAAACTGGAGCGATCCGTTTGACGACACGGAGTGTCTCGGCCCACTCCCCGTGCGCATCCTTTATCTGTTGAACATCTGTACGTTGACAGAGAGTCGACCACATACGGGAATCTGTATCTCTTGGTCCCCGTTTCACCCCGTGAGAACTAAGGATCCCAAGATACATGGATCTACGTTTCAAAATAATATTGCTCAGATGTCACGATCCATCCCCTTGAAGATCATTCCAGCGTTCCAGAGATATGTCACATGTGTGACTGTGTAACATATTCTCCCCTCATCCTTGATCTCATCGATCACCCATTGATCGCCGGCCTCACCGCCGCACTTTGGGCTTGAGATGACGAGGGCTGGTAGGGAAGATGTGAAAAGGATTGATGATATCAACAACAGTTTTGTCTGGCGGTCTGACACTTACTTGGTTAACAAAATTTCCTTATGGGGAAAGGTAAACAAAAAAGACCTACAACTCCACCTTGACTTTCAGGAGATATCAGGAGTGACAAGCGGAGAAATCATATGATACTCGTTCCATCACATGGAGATCAGTCACTCGGACCGACAAGTAGGAAAGTAAGACCATCATGATATCTATAAAAGGCTCATTCTTTCATCCCTCATACATCAACAATTCACACCAGTCCAAAACCACATCAAAAACAAACCTCAATCCAATAAACACATCAACTCAAGACATTCAAATCCTACAAAATTACATAAACAAGTCGTAACATCAAGAGACAAAATGTCCCAATCAACCTTCACTCAATACAAGATCTCAGCTACCGCCTCAGCCAGGATTGAAAATGACACTGCCAAGCTGGAAGCCGCTTGGTCTCTTGCCCCAACTGCTGAAACAACCGATCCTAGTCAAGCACACAAGCCAGATCAGCTAGATGAGATCAGAGAATCGATGAAGGATCTTGCCACCTTTGCGTCACAACATTCCCAGAGTCTCTTAGAGAATAACAGTAAAGACAAAGAGACTTTTGAAACCAAAAAATACCACTTTCTCAATGGTGTGGAAGCCGACTTGAACCGCACTTTCCAAGATTCGGAATATCAGGGTGTCAGTACTGCTTGGTCAGTTGATGACTTAAGCTTGCTTGCACGGGGAAAAGGGAAGGAGGCGGATACCGAGTATTTTGAGAGCGAAAAGACTTTCCCTCCTCCATCAGGCCCGTCTTATGCTCCCGACTCGCAGGAAGCAGAGCAGGAGGCATTCAGGGCGGAACAAGCAGCTCTCGCTGAGCAGATGTTAGCCGATGCTGAGCCCGACTATTCAGACTAGATATAGTCGCAGGAAGGTAGGGTAGAGTATGACAGGACCGGAACGTACAGGATAGGAATGAGAGATGAATTGATGAGATGATTGACCAATAACAACGTTGCACCTATCATTCAGTCTTCTGGACATACATCTCTAGTGGGAGAGGGAGTACTTACAGTACAGTACTGTCGCTCCAGTATAGCTCCATGATACTGAAGACTTCCCTTTTGCCCCTCTTCACCTCAGTAAATGCTCCGTTTTTGTCAAGACCAGACCGAAGGTCGAAGGATCTGCGTCGATGGAGATAGGGCTACTTGTAGGGACTTGAACTAGTTGCAAGAGGATGTGAAGATCGAAGCAAGTGGTTCGATGAATGAATACTAGGTTTGGCAAATGTATAAGAGAACTTGTATGTTGAGACAGACAAGATACATTTGTCGAAGTTGTTCTAAGCTATGCACTACCTTATGTACATGGAATGAGAGTGGAATGTAGATAAGGGTGGCTGGTAGTGTTTATCCGTGGCGGGTAATGGGGATATTACCCGAACTAGCAACTTCGACGCGCGTGGTCATTACAGTTTTGGCACAAGTCCAATAGGCGCTTGTGAGTATGCCGTGGGGTGAGATCAGCTTATATGGTTCAGGTGCAGCTTCCTCCAGGGAAGTAGGTAGATGGGTATAGTCAGAACCTGTAATGTTTGCTTCTTTGTTTGATGATAGAGTTGAATCACTGTATGTCAACGGCTATTCCAAGAGTATGAGCTCCCCCTTTGCATCAGTGTAAGTAGTGTCAATATCATGGATACCTTCACCATTGCTCTCCTGGGGACGCTCTGAGTAGGTCTGGTCACCTCCTGAGGTGCAGTGTTTCCTGGCTGGGTCTGAGAGCGCCAACCTGAACCGTGCGACTTGGCTGTGTCCCTAACACATTCCGTTCCCCTACCATACCTAGTCCATATTTCTAGGACTACATGACTTTTTCCCTCATCTCTGTGTCCCTCGTCTATCTTTGTCTTACTTTGATCCTCTCTCTAATGTTATTTTCCATCTTTACTTGTTAGATATTGGTATCACTCCGCTTCCTTCTTACTATACAGAAACAGCCCATTTTTTGCAGATGTGTTTTCAAATGTTTTTGTATTGTCACTTAGCAAATCTTTTGGCACTAAATCTCATCAATTCAGAGTCTCTTCAATCTTTTACATCAATAGACTATCTATGACATCACTCCCTGTAGCCCATACTTCATTGAAACAGACTGTCTACAACCTCTGGTCCTGGCAACCATGAAGACGGTAGGGACAAGATAGGATTCACTGTCATGGACCCTGATGGACGACGTGCCTAATGTCCATATGACTTCTTCCCCTCTTTACACTATTGAACATTGATGTCTCTTACTCATACTCAGGACACTAGAAAAGAGGGGGTTATCACAGGCCTCAACCAGCAAAAACTGGCCAAACTAGCTGTGAACGACGACCCCCCCCCCCTTGTAGTCTTCATTGCAAACACTCCATCAACAATGATCCAAAACAAGAGACATTTTAGTTGTGGTATCAGCCTTCAATGGACATGATGATGTGAAAGTTTTGACATACATACACATTCGATACACGTTTTATTGCCAAGTTGACATAAGTTGCATGATGGTGGAGGGTGAGTTGAAACTTCAAACAGGAGTAATTTACATCCTACAGTACAGATACTGTCAGAGAAACCTGAGACAGAGGGAAACTAAGTGTGATACCATCTTTTAGAAACCTCTTAATCTGAAATATTCCTGGAATGATGTTGACCAAGTTTGACATGCCGGTTTCCTTTGTCTTGCCCGTATACATCCTCGATACCTTGATCACTGGTGAAACATCAGCTTGGAAGACGAAACTTAGTCTCCTTGGGTAGTCAAGCCAATCTTACCCGTCTCAGAGATAGAGGCATTTGATTCAACCGACTTCGACCGACAATGGGATCAGAAATACCCATGGATAACCCATCGGCCAAATTCGAGGAGGGATGAGCGGGGTTGAAGTTGGGGTGACAAGTTGAAGGGGTGCGGAGTATTACGTATGTGAGTCTCCATCCCTGTTTTTTCTATTCGTTTCGGATCTACAGATTTACCTCGTTCCCCTCTCCTCACTGATCTTTTCAACTGCTTGTAGCATGTATCATGCGGTATCCTGTCAAACTGTCGGCGGAGTAAAAAGATCGAAACGGGACACGATCTATCTTTCGAACCATGACTTGGCACTCATCGCCAGAATAGAGAGTATTGCAGTTTCACGCTCGGCGTTTCTCCTCTCGAAGAGGATTTGAGTGAGGAGTTCGAAATGGCAGTCCCCTACAAGGGGATGTGTTTGGACATGGTTGAAGAGTATAAGAGAAGGGGGGGAAGGGGATGTCTATAAAAACCTCGCCGGATCTCTTAGCCCTCAGCAATCCACAACTTTCAAACCAACCAACCAATCAACCAACCAACCAAACAGACAACCAACTACAGAATCAACCCAATTTGATAACTTCAACTCAATTTACTCGAAAAAAGCCAAATAGAATCAAAAGCAATGTCCCAGACAGAAACATACACTCAGTACACAGTAAAGGGTACTGTCTCGGCCAAGTTTGAGAACAACACCATTGATCTCCAGGCAGCTTTCTCCTTACAGCCTACTGGGACGACCAACGATCGTAGTCAAGCACCTACTGATGATCAAGTGAAAGAAATACTCGAGTCATTCAATCACCTCTTTGAAATGACTGCAATTCACTCTGAGTCTGCTCTACAATTCATTGGAGAGAACAAGACTTTCTTTGCCAATAGAAAACCTCTTTTCACTGCTGGTGTGATTGCCGACTTTGACCGTACTATCTCCCCAACAGATTATCCAGGGGTGAGCACTTCAATAACTGAAGATGACATTGATCTGCTTTCAAGGGCAAGAAATGAAGAACATAACACCAAGTATTTCGAAAGCCATAAGACCTTTGCACAGACCACCAGCAGCTCGGCTCCTTTGATTGACTATGAGCTGGCCATGGAGCAGGAATTGGCAGAGGAGAGAACTGCCACTCAGAACATGGTGGACTTCTTCCAGGATGATGGAGAGGTGGAGTAGATCGACAAATCACTTTACTTTGCACTCTGTGCAGTAAAATCTGTCGGGATGACGGAATATGGAATGCGGTTGATGAGGAATCCAAGATGCATTAATGAGAGAGTGAGATTGCTGCTTACATCTTCCAGAAGTAGGTGGGCGTAGCGAGTGGTGCTCTACCAAGGCTAGGACTTGTGCGATTTGTTTCGCAAAAGTCGAGCAACATGACTTAGTGCTACAGATATGACACCCGTGTTGTGTGTACTGCTTACATACCGAATTGTCTTTACTGTCCGATCACCCATACCAGAAAGTAGTGGAACTGAGGAGAAGCAGCCATGTTAGTCAGGCTATGAATCTTCTGTGACTAGTACATATCACCCTTCCTCATGAGAGTTATCCTTGGCACTGTCATGTTACATCTGTTTCCCAGCTCTAACACCCATCTTGTTCAGGGGCCCCCAAGTGTCACAATTCATGAGAATGTTGTAAATTGTGGCCTCCTTTGTTCAGGAAGGAGATCTTCATGGTCAACCCCCACCTCAAGGTGTTGGAACAGGACCTCACGTTCTCAAACATATTATAGCCGATAAAATCGGCCCGCAATGGCCGAATTGTCGGTAGGATTACTTCCCATTGGTAGGATTCATTCCCATTCCGTCACCTTTTGCCTTTGTGTTCTTATCCTCTGAACGTTCACTGATAGTCCGAAGTGCTGCGTATGAGCGGAATATAACTCAGTTGTTGATCCGTCCGTCACCTAACATTGACAGCTGTGCAAAAGTTGTTTGCTGATAATCAGCTGGTAATACAGAGGGGAAAAAGAGCATGCATCGATTCTACATGTCTCTATACTTATCACATTCCACTCACGCGCAGTAAACCAGAGACGATCGAATAAAGTTCAGAGGATAAGTTGAATGGAGAAATATTCGACGGAAGGGGTAATTCTAACGGCGGTTCGGCGGCCGTCCTGGCCCAATTCTATCGGCTAACAAAAGTAATCCCCAATTGAATTTGTGCTGGTTGTCCTATTTCCAACATGAATCCGCCCTCTCATCTTCTGTCCTAACCCCTATGAAACCAGGTTCAGTATCATTACCTGTGACGTCATTCCAAGCGTCACCTATCTGTAGACATGTAGATACACCTCAATCAACTTCCTCCACGGAGCATACAATGCTGGATCATGGGATAACTTAGGGGGATTCTCAAGAGAAATCTTAGACAACACAGAGGTCATTATGAGGAGAGTAGAAACACGAACTTGCCTTACTTATACACAGAGGTATGTGGACTTCCAACTGTTAATCTGTTTGCTGATAAGCAGATGATAATACAGAGGGGAAAAAGAGCATGCATAAATTCTACATGTCTCTGTTAGGGACCCCGCCGGAGACGGACCCCTCCGGAGTGGCACGGTTTGAAGTACCCCTCTTAGACCCACTCAGAGAATTGTCCCACTCTGGAGGTGTCCAGACCCACCCAGAGTAATTACTGCTCAACCGGACCACAAGAATTTTGATGCTAGTCCTGCAAAAGTACTGCTTGCCCCAATGATGACCTAGTTGACCATCCCCACCCATGTGTGGTAGCAGACACATCCTGCGATTCTTGCCCCAAATTTTGCATGATCACCAGAAGACATGGACTCATGATTGGTGTGGGGAATCTGGGAGATTGAAGTGATGAATCAAGGCAGACTCATGGGAGATCACTGCTCACAGATGAGAGTGTCTGGATCATAAGTCCTGATCCAGCATCTCTTTATTTTTCCAACTCAATCAGACCATTTATTGGATGTTTCTCCAGCTGGGTCTGTCAAGGGGTCAGACCACTCCAGAGTGGAACATCTCCCGTAGGGTCTGATCACGTCTGTGCGGCTCCAGAGGGGTCCGTCCCCGGCGGGGTCCTTAACATCTCTATACTTATCACATTCCACTCACAAGCAGGAATCCAGAGATGATCGAACAAAGTTCAGGAAAGAAGGGATAGTCGACGGAAGGGGTAATTTCCCATCGGCGTTTGGCTGTCCTGGGCCGATCCTGCCGGCTAGCATGGTTCTCTGGCTGGGTCCAAGAGAGGTAATTTGAACAACGCTCCGGAGTGGAACGTCTCCGGCTGGGTACTGAACAGGAAATAATCCTACTGACGGTTGAGCCATTGCGGGCCGTTTCTATTAGCTAACATGTTTCGACATGTAGCTCCAGTCCATGCGCATTGCTACTAAATCCCGAAAACAAGCTGGCTTTCTCAGTGTCTCCTGATGAAATCCAAAAACACACAAACGTTGTTAGGACCGTTTGTGTAATGACCACGCGCGTCGAGGTTGCTAGTTCGGGTAATATCCCCATTACCCGCCACCAATAAACACTACCAGCCACCCTTATCTACATTCCACTCTCATTCCATGTACATAAGGTAGTGCATAGCTTAGAACAACTTCAACCAATGTATCTTGTCTGTCTCAACATACAAGTTCTCACATACATTTGCCAAACCTAGTATTCATTCATCAAACCACTTGCTTCGATCTTCACATCCTCTCGCAACTAGTTCAAGTCCCTACAAGTAGCTTTATCTCCATCGACGCAGATCCTTCGACCTTCGGTCTGGTCTTGACAGTTTGGATGATTCTCAATAAAACATGAAACCTCAAAAATAAAGATCAGATGGAAGATCAATCAGATGGATTGGAAGATTGGATTGGATTAGGATATGATGGACAGGATCAGGACTGGATTTGGACAAGATTTAGAATGTACATTAGGACTACATACTGAGAAATAGAAAAACACTCAACATCCACCTTGATGTTAAGACCAAGAACAGGATCATCATTCCCACTACCCCTTTGCTTGTCTCCATTTCGTTTATTCTTTGTGATAAGACCTTCACCCTCTCCTACATACCTCACCACCATTCCCACGCCTTACTGCCACTTTCATCGATTCCGTGCGTTCGCACTTTGCCTTCATCCACCCCTGCCACTTTATCGCTTACGCCTTATCGCTTCACTATTCAACTACTCCGTATGACTTCAAAAACTACGAACTTTAGTTGCAAGGTTGTGGCTCTCTGAGGGAGGGGTAGGTCGGAGTCGCTTCTAGTCCCGTGTGGTTCCTTTCACCCTCTCCTAGAGCTTTCTATCACATTCTATCACATTCTATCACATTCTAGTACTTCCCTTCTACTAGATTGTTCTCTCAATTGTCCTGCTGATCTGAATCTGAAACGAGATTTAGTCAGCTCAACAAATTTGAGTAAGCTCCTTTACTGTCATTATGCGTCCTCTTATTCCTCGTTTGTCTTGCTACATTTGGAGACGTTTTCGGTTATCAATCGATCTCGTCTTACAAGGATCGATGATATTGGCTAACAGAGCGGAGTGGACAACAAGGATTGAGCAGCATCAAAATGCTACATTCTAGACATGCATGTCAATGTAGTTGCTTCCTGTGCGGGTCATGTTGTTTTGATATCATTTCCAGCCTTTTGTATGTAACACCCCTCCTCAGAGTAGTGATCATTGGTATTCCCATGTTTGGTCCGCCGTTTCCCCAGTCCTGCGACTCGACGATCCGTGGTCCCAAACGGTCTGAAGTCATGAGAACGTTATAAAATTGAGCTTCCTTTGATCAGGAATGAGTCCCAATAGCCAAAATTCACCTCACTTGTTGAAACAGGATTTCACACTTCCAAACACCTCAAACACCTCAATCACCTCAATCACCTCAATCGGGAGTTCAAACCGTGATGAGACTCCGCACACCGTACATGTTTAGCACACCTTACATGTTTAGCACACCTTACATGTCTAACCCTGTTGGGTCAGTATGGTCTGGTTTTCATGCCAAAATATGTCTCCGTGTACGGTTTTACGTGAAATATGTGGTTTTGGGCATGAGAACGACCAACCAGCGGCGGCGTAAGTCTGATGGGTTGCAGGTCTCTTTCACCTATCCCAATGAGGTGAGTTGTGTCTTTTCTCGCGCATGGAACAAGATGCTGGAAGGGGTAGAGGGGGAGATGTGACAAGTGTCAACCAGCACTTTCTTCCTACTCATTGATCAGCATGGCTCCAAAAATAGCTATATAAACCCCTTCTAGAAAGTAGAAAGAGCAAAAACTACAATCTAACACTCTTCACACCTCCACAAACCAACACTTAGAAACCACTAATTGCTTCTGCTTCCCAAGTCAATTCAAGACCGAACAATCATTATGTCTGGCACTGCTACCACGTTGAGTCTCTCCTCGGCCGAGGAGTCCGCTTCTCACAACATCAGCAATAGCACAGAAGAGCAACTTGAAGAGGTCTACGTCACTCGGAAGATTGTATGTACAACATCTGTCAGTCGTTATGACTTTGATAGTTTCTTGTTCCAAGCAGCATGGTCTTGTCCTGAGACAGGTGAAACGACAGATCGTGCGCTTGGATTCAAGGACGATATGAAAACCCTCCGGGAGAATCTTCAGGCCGAAAAAGAGTACGCCAGTGACGCAGTTCAAAGTATGCTCCTGAGGCACGGAACCACAGAAGATACATTAACAGCTCTACCTCGTACCGACTTTGAACTTGCGATTGAATCAAATTTCTTTCTTTTTTTCCCTCAGGGTGATCCTGGGCTTCCTAGCTCTTACACTCGAGATGACATGGAGTTGCTCAAGTATGCTGCTAGTCAGAAGAAAAATGAGGAATACACAACAACAAAATACTATGACCGTTTGGTGACAATTGGACAAGATGTGACAAATTATGATCCCAATGATCAGGTGGTAGAACAAAATGAACTGAATGCAGAGCAAGCTGCACAGGCACAGCAATTCCAGGAGGATTAATGAGATGAAGAGTGCGAGGATAAGTCACACCGAACATGGTGTTGAAAACTCAGGAATCAGAGTAAGTAGTCAATGAGGAATTTGAGATGCATTAATTGATGAGAGAGAGAGAGAGAGGAGGAAAGATCACCCCAAGTACTTACTGCATATACTTACTGTAAGCTATCTCTTGAGTTCACTGGAACAATGACACTAGTGTATCAACCCTGATTAAGAGTCGTTCTCAACGATCCCACAATGGTCTCAATACTACCATTAACAAAAGACTCTTCAATCTCCTTCCTGACGTCTTTCCAACTTCTTTCCGTCTGCCACAAAAGGCTCCTCTCTGGTTGAGATAGACCTCTGTAAGGACCAGACGTCGGAATAGTCTGCGTCGATGAGCTGTGACAATGAGGCCTTGTAGGGAACAAACCTAGTGATGTAGTGTATCGAAGAGATCTGTAAGATCGATGAGATGTATGTCAAATGAGATAACTAGGAAAACACAAAATACATTCGACAAGACATTGCTGAGAAAAGACTACGTCTATATACTAAAAACAAGCGGGATGATACCGATGGAGAGCATGCGTGGTTCGTAATGATGTTGAGGTAGACTAGCAGAGGAAGGGCGATGATAGTTACCGAGACGGAGATGTAAAAAAGGGTAGAGGTGTCGAAGGAGTGGTAGGAGTGGTACCAGGCGTAGTAGCAAACGGAGTAAGCCCGGACGCGGGAATGGAGACGGGGACGGGAATGGAAAAAGAGTACGACTACATGGTAAGGTACCCGTGGTACCGCGTGATCCTGACAACCTCTGAATCGGCGTTGACAATTTCGTTCTTGCTGTCGAAGAATTCTCTGTATAGCTTGTGAGTTCTCAGCGTCAAACTGTGCAAAAGTGTACCTCAACTCCGGAACTGCAGAATCATCAGGCCAACCATACCTTAGCCAACTTTCAACTTGAGTGAACAACATGGAATACCAAGCGAGTTCCACACCTTGAGAGGCGGCGGCCTTGATGTCTTCTAAGGGTACCGAACGATAGGAATTACGAACGTAGTTGCTGAACTTTGCAAGACTGCCGGCAAGATCACTGGTGTAACGAAGGTTTGCCCTTGTAAGAAGTGGGTGGGAATCGGTCCAGGTCCAATTATGTACTCCCGATTCACTTATCGTGGCGATGAGCAGGGGATCAGCGGGTTGTGATTTGTTTGTTGTGGCGGTTGACATGTTGGAGTTGTGAGGTATGATTGGTACTGTATGATAGGTTACTGTATGATAGGTTACTGTATGATAGGTATGATAAAACGAAGGATGAAATGGGTGGACGATGTCTCGAAGGCGATGCGGATCGGGATCTGAACAAGTACTCAGCTGTCGAGAGGCGGAGAGCATATCGAGGACAAAGGATGGATAGTGCGTGAATGTCAATCAAGCGAGCAATTCCACGTGCGGTCGATTATCGACTAGGCATATGTGGAGGAGGGCCGCTTGCAGGGTCGGCAGGAAAAGTGTAGGATCGCTTGAGAGCAAGAGAAGCAGTCCACTTTGCTAGTGGGTGAGAAATGAGGCACACATTGATGAGAGATACAATATCAAGCATGTCCAAGTTTTAAAGATAAGTTGCATGAGAAATATTAATAATTACACCTGACACTGTCCCACTCAAATTCATGTGTCAATTCACCTTCTGCAGTGACAATTGGCTTCCATGACGTCACAAATTTAGCCTTGGGAGCAGTATGCATAGCTCCCAACACGGTCGCAAGCAATACTTCCATCATAAATAGCACTTTCGACATAGTGCCGCGCCTCATCCCACGTCACCTCCTCCTTTGATTTCTGGGTTCTCTCCCAATCAGCAAGATTCTTAAATCGACTTCTACGCTTCTTTGTCTGGGTTTGTTGAACAGAGAAAAAGGTATTATGATTTTTGGCTGCAAATTCTGCCAGTTCGCTTGCCAATTGCGCAAAGTCACTAGGTTGACCATTGGAGGTTCGGATGACGGTTTCGACCCTAGTAAACAAGTGTGAATACCATGCTGATTGAAGTCCACTGGAAAGGGCAACTGTCATATCCTCCTGCGGCACGTTTTCAAACGCCGAGTTGACGTAGTGGATGAATTCGGTCATTTTTCCGGTTAATTCAGCTGTGTAGTCCGAATTGCTAAAGGTTCTCAGCGGGTGTTTCAATTGTTCACACAGAAGTTTACCAGTTTGAGAGACCGTGGGCTTGAAAAAGGGCGCCTTCTCTGCGTCAGTCATGCTCTCAGGCGTCAGCAATTGCACAGTCATATAGCTGTCCATTGTCTTGAGAGAGTCTTGAGGGTGTCGTTTATTATTTGTGTTGTTTGTTATTTGTGTTGTTGGCTGTCTTAACAGAGATGGGGGCAGGTCCTGATAGTTGTATGAGACGGAAGCTGAGGGCAGCGGAGGGGAGAGAATCGTCATTTTTTGCGTGATCTCAGCTGTTGTGTGAGATGAGCAAAGGAGGTGATGGATAAAATATGAAGCAAACACCGAGGCGGGGGTTGTCCTTTCAGTCCAGGTCTGACGCTCGAAGATGGCAAATTGAGATATGTGAGAGATTGGCAGGGTAGACAGGCTAGAACTCATCATGCTTGTCAAATGTTAAAACGTCTTATGTTGCAGGGGTGTGTCAGCACAAAAGAGCATCATGATCCAAAGGAGTTCACGCTTTGGACAGTGTAACAAGACTTTAAGCTCAGCATCGGTCGCGAAGGAATGATACAAGTCATCTGGGTCGATTTGAAGGTATTCTCTCGGTCTGCTCTCGAGGTCGGATAACCTCTACCTGACCGTCAGTATCAACTTCATGGTTGTGACAGAGATTGAGGAATGTCACGATATATCAGGATGAAGAGATGAGAACGGTGTTCGAGAAAGACTTGCTCACGTAATTTCCAGGAAACCAACCCATCCTTCCATCTCTCGTTCTTCCTCTCCACCAACCCATTTCCATACCATCTTTCCCTCCATCTCTTCTTTCCAAAACAGCGACAATTTCATCCCTTCCTAAACTCAATTCCCATTCTTCTTTCCCCTGAAACTCCCATTTAGCACGAGCGAAACTTAATTTATTCGGATCCAACTCTTCCACCTGAGGTCTTTGATTATTCATTAAAACTCTGACTAATCGAGCCATCAACCAAGGTAATCCCACCGCTGAAAGTAAGAATAATATTAAGGGTTTTGCCGAAGGTCTAGATGGATCTGATCCTCCTCCTGATAAAGTAGACCATTCATTTGCCCATCCTGTTGTTCCGACTTTCTTCCCTTTCAACCAATTAATGATTTTCCTTCCTAGACGTAGTATGGAGAAAACGCCGAGTACTTGACCTAAGTATGTTTTAAGAGATCCGAGCTGATCGGCTACTCCGATCATGGCGAAGAAAGAGGAATGAGTGGCCATATAGGTACTTTCTACTAATTGAGCGAGTGAAGTGAATGCGGCTACGAGTGATTCGAGTACTGCGAATGCTGGTGCGGTAGATTGTTGAAGAGAAGAAGTTAATGTCGGGTAGCCCTAAGTATCAGTAACACGCAAAGAGATGAGAAGAAACGATTAAGGAGAGATAATCACCTCTCCAGGAGCACCCATACCTCCTACTCCATATCCACCCATACCATAACCTCCAACACCGTAACCTCCATATCGATTGAAAGACGGTTGATAAGATCCATGACCCATACCACCATAGCTACCGATGTTATTCATACCGTTCATACCGTAGCCGTAGTTATTACCATAGCGAGGGTAAGGTTGAACGCTGGAGTATCCTGAATGTTCAGTATGGTGTGGTTATCGGGCCGAGTGACTCACCATTAGTAGATGCCAGTGTCCCGTCGATACCTAGTGGTCGATCAGGTGGCTTGGGTGCGGAGCTGGTAGTGGATAAGACATTAGAAGACGAAGAAACGGCATTGTCGAAGGTGGTAGTTCGAATTGGATTAGAGGAAGATGCGACGGCATTAGCAGAAGTGTTCGTTTCCCAAGGTTTGGGACGTGGGGGAAGGGAAGATGACATGGGAGTGAGTGGGCAGTATGTAGCTGATATGTGTCGTCTAGCACAGTTTAAATATTCACTGAGACCTGTGTTCGTGATGAGCTTTTGTCTTTATAGTGACTGGATGTATCGTAAGGAGGGGGGACAAGGAAGCAAAGTAGAAAGATGGTGGAGAGGAAGAGGGAAAGATCGTACCTACTCCTACTTAGATTTCCACTTGTTCCCCCACTTCTCTTCCCCAACTTACCATCATTCCTATCAACTTACATACTACTTCATATGGCGCCAACATGTCAACAGCCGTAGCAGGACCTTCATCTTCTATCCTATGGCCAAACGCAAAAGGTACAAAGCTACATATAATCCGTGATCCAACTATACGTGTGAGACAAGCCGTCCGAGGTGAGTTTCCTTCCCTCCTTCTCAACTTGTGCTCATCACACAGATAACAACGTCACTCTCTTAGCTCGTCTTCAACGCAAATGTGACCTTCGTAATACAGACAGGAATCGTCTGACTTCTCTAAGCTGGGCCGCTATAGAAGGTAGTTTGGAAGCTTTCGAATGGTTATTGTTAGATTATGGACATGATGATCAAGAACTCAGTAGAGTGAGTTTTTATTTCACATCTCTTCGAAATCTTCCTCCTCCTCTCCCTTTAATCTTCTCTATCCAAATCTGCTGAGAGATAAATGAAAATCTGACAAATAGGACGCAGATAACAATACTATACTTCATTTGCTCGCTTCTGTCCCTTCTCCACCTACATTATCCCCTCATACACACTTATTACGTTCAAACCCGACTCTTCCACCTCCACCAAAACAACGTACTTTCCCAGAATTACAACAAATATCACTCCGTATGACAGAACTTTATCACACACTTTTCCCTTTCCTTCTCGATTGGTCAAATGCAGGTGGTAAAACGGCTCTTCACGTCGCTGCACAAGCTGGAAATACACCATTCATCAATCTTCTTTGTGATTTAGGAGCAGATGTAGATCTTACGGATTTACAAGGAAATACACCATTACATTACGCCAGTGCTTGGGGTCATTTAGAAAGTTTGAGATGTTTAATGATGAGAGGATGTCAATTTGCTAGTAGGAATTTTGAAGGTTTTACAGCAAGTGATTTCTCTTATGATCAAAATATCATGATAAATTTACAAAATAAAGCAAAGGAATTATTCGAGGAAAGAAGATTTAGACGTCGAGATGGTTTTACGGAACAAAATATTTCAGATCCTAATATGTCCAATGGGAATGGTCAGAATAGAGGATTGAATGAAAGTGTTTTAGATGGTAGAATAGGGGATGAAGGAGTAAGGTTTAGATCAGGAAGTGATAGTACAGGTACAAATTCTTTCACATCAGGTTCTATTATTTCTTCGAATCAATCAACTCCACAATATATTATAAGACAAAAAACACCTAGTACTTCTACTTCTACTTCAAATTCCAATCCAAACACGAATACAAAATTCAATTTCGTATCAGGTACCTCTCCAAAACCTTCGCCTCAATTGAGGTCTATCCCACTCAGTGCGAATCCAAGTCAACAAAGTAATCAATCGATTCCTTCGAATATCTCAATAACTTCTTCAAATTCCACATCGAGTAAAAGACTACCTATATCGTTACCGGTTTCAAGACAAATTTCGCAAAATTCAACATCGACATCACTATCAAAACCTCCTCCTCGTTCGGAAAGTCTGACGAATATCAATCAATCCAGTAAACAATTGAGAAGTCCACCAACACCTTTTTTAACGAGACGAATGACAAATACGGAAGATGCTCCACCGGTCCCTCCTCTACCTGGTACCTTTAGCGGAACGACTCCGGCTGAACCCACTGCACCAGGACCACCACAGTTGTTTCCCGTGACATCTACGCCAATGCGACGAGGAGGTTCTTCGCAGTCAAGCATGACTAACAAGGAGGGAGCTAGATTGCAGGCTAGGGTGTCAGAAGGGAATCATGCGATTTGAAGGATAGGCATTGAATGATGTTTCGTCACGACGCGGATGTATGGAATATGTATTCGACTGAAGTAGATGCTATACCCCTCGTCCAGAGTGGGTCAGGTCGCTGATTGTGTAGCTGATCAGCTTGCTACATGCTCATGTAAACTCGCATTCCGTCCCCTGGGTCCCCTGTTGCTTGCCCGTGATGCACGTTCGTCTGCACCCTCACACAAGTAGTGCTCATGCTGCCGAACGATTGAGGACATTCAGACTTCTGTCACCATCGTCCACTCAAGTCCAAGACCAATTCATATTTCCATTCTCGAAAGACCATGAGTTACTTCCTGACCTCTTCTGACATAATGCGATCCGGTCCGGCAGAATGGCGTCAAATGACTGGGCCGTAGTATGTGTATTGTGATTAGAGTGATAAATAAGACCGTCGTCCAGCTGGAAGTGTTCCTATCTAATTGAAATTCATCACAGGCATTATCCTGAAGAATAGTACGAGCAATCTTGAAATATTTCTCAATGAATCAATCTGATAATGAGCTCAGATCCGAGTTTGAAGTTGGAACAAAAACTTACAATATCTATGCCCTCCCATCCCTTCCCATGTCTCACCCCACAGCCCCTCTTCGTGACCCTCTATACACCCATTTACCCCATCATCTCGAACTTCACGCTTGAGGAAAGGTGGCCCATGGAAAGATGAGAAGATGAGAGGATGAAAAGTAGAAAAGATGAAAAGATTGATTTTATAACTCCTCCACGACATGTTCCAAAACTCCTCCCGTTTTTCCAGCTTCAGCCAACATGATCCTCAAACGACGTATCAATTGCCATACCCCACCAGTAGATTTGATATTGACATATAATCTCGATATCCAGAACGCAGTGAGGATGACGAATCCTGTGAATGCCACTGCGACTTGTTGGTCAGTGACATTTCAAATATTTCTCTATTCGTCCTTCTCCTTTGGTCATTTAATCGTCTGGACCCGTTCTGACACCTTCGAGGACGCTTGAATCTTTCGGAGCACGTTTAAAACTCTTGATTACGCTTCACTGATCCACACGTACGACTGTTGTAGTCTTATTTTCCCATCAGACACATTCTACAGACGGAAGGTATTGAGGTTGAGAAAGAATAGTCAGGGGGCGGGAGGGCGTATAGGACGGGTGAAAAGGGTAGAGTACTTGAGTAAGAGATGATTAAATGGACAAGGAATCAAGAATAGATTATGAAAGATTCAAAACTCACGTAATACCACCAACCTTCTATTCCTTTGATGTAAATCTTCTTTCTGTATACCTCTCTTGACACTAGAAACCACTTGTCCACCTATTCCCGTATTGTCTAATCGAGTTTTTCTGGGTCTTCTAGAAGTTTGTATAGGTTTTGACATTTCTATCACTAAGCTATATCCTCATGATTTTTTCAGACTTTGGTATGACTCACTTTCCTGTGACCTCACTAAGAGCTGACGTTTTCTTCTTTTTCGTTACACTTCGTTGACCACTCTTGGAGTCTACCAGCTACCGGGATATTAGAAGAACGATCTAAGGAAAAGTAAGTGACATCTCTTTGACGTGATATGTCAGGCACGAACAAACCACGTGACTTCTCTTTTTCGATGAAAGTTTCAATGTTGTCGTTCTGCAATTCTGCAGTGGAATACTTCATCAATCTATCCAGGAAACTCCAGGATCACAGTTCGAAGAAGGACAGCACAGCCTGAGAAAGATTATATCCTTTGATTAACTATGGAACGATAGTAACTTACCCAAAACAACAAGTTGGAAGAAAAGATAGTCATTTCATAAAATGCCCCGTCCTCGTCTACCTTCACCCGAATATACACCTTCTTCATTACCTCCCAACATAATCCTCACCAGACTCTTTTCACCTAGAGGTTCAGGTAATTGGGTTTGTCATTCCCCCGATGGGATCGAAAGACTTGTGGAGATATCGACAAGGGTGAAAAGATCTAAAGTCATTTTGGTCAAAGGTGAGTGTGCTGAGCATTTGTTCTTCCATGAGATGTAGTGAATAGGCGATGTGTTGGATAGGAGAAGTGGTGAGTGGTAGAAGTGGTGAGTATGAAAAGTGGTGGATAGACCAAGTGTGATCAATGAATATGGTGAATAGACATAATGGAGTAATCGAGAAGTGGGTATAGGCGAGAACTGATCAAAAGGGGATTTCTCATACGTAAACTTATTTCCTCCTGGTGGAAAAGTAGTAGGAGAAATCATCGTTGTTTTAGAAAAGAATCAAGTTAAAGGGTATAAGAAATCTGGGGAATGGTGAGTCTTCTTCCCACCTCCTCCTCTCTCCTCTCTCCTGTCCCCTCTTCCCTCCCCCCTGTTCCCTCTTCCCTCTCCCCTGTTCCCTCCTTCCGCCTTGATGTATAAGTAAAATTATAGGCTGCCTTCGTTCAACTGGTCATCTGATCTATATGAGCAACACGATATTTATCGTTCCGTAATTCTGACAATCATGTTGATGATAGGCCTGAAGAGTTCGATTCATTACCACCTACGAATCCTCAAGAACCTTCACCTCTTATCGAAACTTCATCTCTCGATATTTCACAGGCAGATGATCAATCATCACATACAAGTACTTCGGATACGACATGAGACGGGTGATGGGTGATCTGTCAATAATATCATCATAAAGATATGATTCATGAATCATCTCTTCCTCACTTATCCCCTCCTCGCTACATTCTTCCCCTGATCGATTCATTTTGAATCAAAGACTCCTGGGGATTGTTAACATCAAAGATCGTATGGCTGGATCTCCTAATTGCCCCACAACCTCCATGGATAAATGCGTCCGTTTGGGAACAGACTATTCGCCTACACGCTTTCTAGAATTACTCAGATGCGAAGGGGAGCGTGCGTTAAGACACATTATATGGTTGAATGCACATGCATAAATGATTGTCGTATGATAACTTGGCTACATGATCCTTCTTCCTCTCTTCCCACCCTCATCCCACCTTCATGAATTCGAGATACCGTTTCCCACACGCTTCATATCCTACCATATGCACATGCTAGTTTTGCGAATTACTCTTCATAAGCGGGACCTGATCTCCGTCCCACGCTTCATGTCGCGCATGCCGCCCTATACACAGAATGAATTCTATTATTTCTCATAAGCGATATTTTACCTAATAAAAAGAGTCAAGTTTCATGCACATGATGATAGATGATTTGTTGATGTTCTCGTCACGAATATTGCAAAATTCAAAGACGATTGATGATTGATGATGACTCTCGATTGTTAGAGATTGTTGAAGGTTGGCGGAGGTTGTGGAAGGTTGTTGAAGATTGTTGAAGATTGTTGAAGATTGTTGAAGATTGTTGAAGATTGTTGAAGATTGTTGAAGGTTGTTGAAGATTGTTGGAACATTGTTTGTAATTGTCGACATTGGAGAAAGATTGAAGATCATCAACATCCAAATGGACAAAACGAAGTGGTAACCCCCGAATCCATGCTACTTCGGGAAACAGTCACTCCGAATTCACCAGATGGCACCACCCAATCTTGCTTCACCACGTCCCATATGGAAACGTCGTATTTTGACAAAGTGAATGTGACTGTGTCTGAAGTTTGAGGTTGTAGGTTTATCCTATGTGTCAGTCACCCTACTCATACGATCAGAATGACACTTTTCGAACGTTCACTAAGGAGACAAGGGTAAGTCGTGTTCATATAGCAGACCGATCGTCGATGGAGTGAAGAATGGGGCTCAGGAGCACCAGAGAGATGGCGGTGATGATGAGGGTGCAGGGGCCTTGAGGGATATAGTCGGAAAAGCGGGTGTCCGACAGTGGGGGAAAGAGATGAAGGGATGTGTGAAGTTAGTAAAAGATATTGTGATACTTACCTCGCGAAATCTCTCAACACCCTAGGTGGCTCACCGGCTTCAGGTGGATAAGTCAAATATAATTGTGCAACTTCGCACCCGTCCACCGAGCCCGTATTCTCAACATCGACGCTGATTGTCCATCTAGGTTTTTGGAGACTGTCGGTCAGAATACCTTCAATTCACTCGCCATGACACTAGCCTCCACAGTCACCATCTCATCATCAAGAGGAGGACAACAAGCTGAAAGGCGTCGATAGGTTGATTCACCACGCAGAAGGCAGACAGTAAAGACGGATGATGGAAAGGTACGGAGTGAGACGAATTGCAGAGCGGTGGTCATACTGAAAAAGACGTGAGGACTGAAACGAAGGTTGTGGTCAAAAGGGATCAACGGGAAATAGGACATGCGACTGACTCATATGCTAAAAACCGTCCAATTTCCACTCCCTTCGCTGCGCCGGGACCATCCGACCCATCGGAAGCAGTCGATTTTCCAGAATCAGATTCGGTCCCATTTGTCGGCAACGACCACGAAGCACTAGAAGTGACAGAACTGATATTCGATCCTTTCCAAGACGACGTGACACTAACGCTCGTCCCATTCGAAGAATCATTGACCGATGAAGTGATTGTGGGATACACCGACGTGTTTCCACTGGTTCCAGTCGGACTCGAGCTGGACATAGTCACTGATTTATGGTGTTTGGTCGAATTATCATCCCTTCGACGATCATACAATTCCGTAGTGAAGTTGAAGTATTCGAAGGTTGTATCACTTTCATATATTTGTAAATTACTCAATTCGAAAGTGGTGTAACTCAACCCATATCCAAATTCATACCTCGGTGTTATGTTGTTAGCGAGAAAATGTCTGTAATCGATATTCAATCCTTCCTCATAATTCACCTGAGGTTCAGGTATTGAATCACTTGATACGTAGAATATATCCGCCGAATAATCCGATCTGTTCTTCGCTATGGTATATGGTAATCTCCCTGATGGATTATATTTCCCATATAAAATATCCACCAATGAATTTCCAGATTCTTGACCTGGTAAACCTGCCCATAGAACAGCAGTGACGTTCGGATGATCAATCCATGGTTCCATGATAATAGGTCCGACGGAATGTACGACGACTATTGTATTCTTGCAATAGGAAGCTACGGCCAAGATGAGATTATCGCCATTATTCCAAGCGGTGAGATTATTCCGATCTCCTTCGTTACCATCTACGGTAATGTAATCTTCACCGGATTGAGATTTGATCCCTACTATAGCTATGTCGGCGTTGGCAGCGGAAGATGATGCGGCGTAAAGATCCCAATCGTTGAATGTCCATGCGACGTCGGTACCGTCTTCTCGGGCTTGACGAACGATAGCGGAAACGGGATCGACTAGATAAGGGAATTCACAAGTTCCAGAACCCCAACCCATGGCGAAGGTACCATCATCACCCCCGCGGTCGCCGAAGCCGTTCGGACCGAGTTGTGGGGGACCGAGGTCGGAGCCGAATAAAACGAGGGACTTGGGTTTGTTGAGAGGAAGAACGTTTTGATCGTTTTTGAGGAGGACGATGGAGGCAGCCCCAATACGTTGTATCAATCTGCGGGATTAGCACAGATACTACACACCCACAACTCACTTAACCTCTCAGCAGGGGACGAGTCACGAGTAACTGTGGAAATTTGTGGCAGAAGACAAGGAAAGAGATAAATTGATATGAACTCACTTCCAATGATCATCTTGGACATTAACAAACGAGTTGGTCTCAGGGGCATACCGTTTGAAAGCATCAAAGTTGACATCTGGATAATCCTGATCCTGCCCAACGAGGAAATAAGCAGCCATAATTCTCTCTGCCATGTCATCCAATCTCGCTTCTGCGACACTTCCATTATTGACCGCTTCGGTGAGATTACTGCCAAAGAAACTTGTATAACTGTCGAAGGTGACATCACCCGGCATGGTCATATCCAGTCCAGAGTTTACCGACAAGACGCCAGAATGAGTGGCAGTCCAATCACTCATGACATAACCTTCGAAACCGAAGTCAGTTTTGAGAACTCCGTTGAGAGTTTTAGAATCTTGACAGGCCCAAGAACCGTTGATGAGGTTGTAAGAGCACATGACTGCCGCTACGTCCGCAGCGACGGCTCGGAGAAAAGGGTGGGTGTATATTTCCCGGAGGGTTCGATCGTCGATGTTGGACGAAGAGGTGGTACGGTTGCGTTCTTGCTCATTTCCGACGAAGTGTTTGACGCTGGAGATTAGTTATCAATAGACTCAAACCATCTCTTCTTAGCATTTGATGATACAGGGAGGGGATTCGATGGGGCGAGGAAAGAGGTCAGAGAGTCCTCAGATGGACGAAGAGGGATTAAAGGAAAGCACTAACGTCGCTTGTACACCTGCATCTTGCAATCCTCTTATGGTCATCTCAGTAGCCCAACCACTGAGGTAAGGATCCCCTCCAAAGCCTTCCCAGTTCCTACCTCCAGCAGCTACTCTGCCCATATTAGTCATTGGTCCCAAGGCCACGTGAACGCCTTTGCCTCGGAATTCTTGACCCATTGCTAGACCGCGATGGTACATGAGGTCTTTGTCAAAGCTTTACGTCAGCAGATGCAATCGTCTCATACCGTGAACCAATGCCCCGAGACGAGCAATGAAGATGGTCAAAATAATAGCTTAACTCACGTAGCAGCGACATTTATTCCAGCTGGAAAAGCAGATACATGATCTGTCAACCTCACTCCTAAAGGCGAATCTTGCAGACAAAGTCCTGAAAAGTTATGTTCAGGGACAGAGGGAATATTTCCCACGCATCTACCTAGTGCCCAGCCGACACCGGTGGTGAGTTGAACTTTTTCTTCGATTGACCAGTCTGAAAGGTAATCCCTGGCCTTCCGGTGTGCAGCTTTCCATTTTGAAGATCTGTGGGCGTACGAAGGTTCGAGGGGGTAGTCGATTTGTGGGGAAGTGTATCCGGAAGGAATGACCGCATAGGGGTTTTTGGTGGTGCTAGTGGGGCAAGTTGAAGTCGTGGTCGTGGAGTTGAAAGAGGTGGTAGTGGAAGAAGAGTTGTCTCGGTGGAACACCCGCCCAGAGACGAGTCCCACCAAGAGGAGAGGAAGGAGTGAAGTGGCGAGCATGTTGTTGGAGAACCTGAAGAATGGGGAGAAAGTTATGGGGATATAAGAAGGATTTGAGACTGGTGCCGGTTAGTAGACTATCCAACTAGGCTATTGTCATTCAATTCAACCCTCCATCTTGTGACCACATGTTTGAGAAATCTTGAAACTTTGCTCGGGCGGCCGGGCGGGGTGCCGAGCGGGGAATCGATTGCGGGATCGACGAGGGGAGAGAACAGAGCATGTACTCACTAAGTGAGAGTACCTAGTCTAAATTCATCATCTCATCTTCGGACCGGTGGTGTCGACTGTGAGACATCCAGAATTAAGCCGTGGGGAGGGAAATCACCCGGTCTCTGATCTGAGCAGCTAGCAACCACAGTAGCAGCTGGTCACTGATTGATGACAGTGGGATATCTTGGCGAGAAGGAACTGATGTTGACCCAGACAATGCGCCATGTGGTGTAGAGGATCGTTCAATGGGTGAGGATGCCGTGGCGTAGTGGGCAAGCTGCGGTATGCGGCATGCGAGACCAAAGGCCAACGGAAGGGAAACTCGGAAACTGTTCCGTCGGAGCTGAGGGTCACGTGACTCACTTCTCCCCTTTCAACATCAGCGTCAGCGTCAATCCTACAGCATGAGCATCACTGAGTAACTGACTCACCATGGCCAACCAAGATTCACAGAGCGATTCACTGGTATGTCAACAGTGTCACCAAGTGAGTTTCCTCGTAGTCAAACACTCTTCATCCAAGCTGACCTTCAGCCACTTCATTTAGATCCTTCGTTATCTTCCCTAACTCCCTCACAATATTCACTCATCACCTCTGCTCTTCCTTCCCCTTCCGGCCCATCCCCCTTATCTCCCACAGCTAAACTCTCCTCCTTGCCTTCTTCATCACGTCAATCAGCATCCATATGGGCCACTGCCAACGGTCTCGAACCACCCAATAAAGGTGTGGCAGAATCGTTCGTCCTCTTGTCTGAATCAGCTGTTACTCCAAGTCCAGCACTCGTCTCTCCTGGTCCAGTCAGTGCATCTCATCTACATGCTTTATTATCGAGCAGAACACCGATAAGTCATCCATTATGTTTAGACTGTGCGGGGTTATTGCAATCTGAACTAGCGAGACAGAGGGAAGACTTAGCCAAGGAACGTGATGGCTATATCGCTTTTGAGCGTGGATTATCGAGAGCAAGTAGAAAGGCGGAAAAGTCAACTGGAGATAAGAGGGATGAGAAAGGCTTAGGGGAGTATGGTCTCGAAGGAGATGATAAAGAATGGGAAGAGTTGATGAGAAAGAAAGTCGAGTTGCAAGGGGAAGAAACGAGGTTGATCAAACTTTTACAAGAAAAGGAAAAGGTTTTGGAAAGTGTGAGAGAAGAGGAAGAGAGGATAAAGGTTGAGAAGGCTGAGATGGATAGGGAGGAGGATGAGTGAGTGACGCTTTCGTCCGACCCATCATATCCGATTCATGTGTCCTTGTTAAGATCTCTTTACGCCTCGGGAGCGAATGTTCTTATCACCAGTCTATTTTGAAAGCTGACGATTCAGATTCCTCCTTTCCCATCTTTCCCTCACTCGTACAATGACCAAACTCACATCGGCTCGTGGAACGGCGAAAACTCAACATCTCCTAGCATCTACCCTTCTACAACATCTGGAATCTACCAACGTATACAACGATGCTTTTCTCATAGGTCACGTTCCTCTCTCCGGAAATGCAGGAATGACCGTCGGTACCATTAACGGTTTGAGACTGGGTGGAAGACCAGTGGTGGAATGGGAAGAGATTAATGCTGCTTGGGGATTAGTAGCTTTATGTTTGGATAGGATAGCTGTGAAAGTTGGATGTGTTTTCGAAGGGTGAGTGTTATGAATCTGTCCCCTCTTTTTACTATCTCCACTACGATTGATCTCCACAATAATCGTATCACGCTGCCTGTCACATATCCACTGGTCATCCTCGAATTCTCTTCATTGAGCCACTTTGCCCCTACCTGAATCTTCACCTTACTTCCCTATATTCAATCTCATTCTACCTCATTCGTCATCGTCACAACTTCCAGCAAACCCATTCCACCCCACCATTTCTAGCAATGGATGATACTTGCTCTTGGGATCTTGAAGATTTATCAATCCCCAATCTCTGTTGCTTTATATTGACCAATTATCAGTTATAAAATCATCCCACTTGGATCTTTCTCCCGAATCGACGCTTTACCACCTTCCAAAGCCTCTTTCGAATTATACGGTTCAACAGACCTTTCGTTATCCCCCGCAAGATTATTACATAACAGGAGATTCAACCTCGCTCTTATAGCCTTTCTCGATTTATTGAAACAATTATTATCACACGGTTGGAAATTATCACGTTCTTGGGGTATGTCAAATAAACAAGATTCTCAAATTTCCCAAAACTCCCAAAACATCCAAAACACCTCAAACCAACTTTCCCAAAATATCCCAACTTCGCCCATCAAATCCCGAAATCAACCTCCCAGATCGGAACCCACCAGCATCGATAATACCGGAATGGGAGTGAACATGAATGGGAAACATGCAGTGGGAAGTGGAGGAAATGTGAGAGGTGAAAGTGAAGGATCAGGAGTAGGAGTAGGTATAGAAATCACTAAAGATAAAATAGCAGGATATTCTATAAAGTTACCTAGTTTGACAATGGGTATGGGAAGTATGATGGGTTTTAATAATGATGATCATTCTGGTGGGGAAGATCAATGGACTAGAGCTTGTAGAGGTGTTTTGGTGGTTTTGAAAAGAATTTTGATTTTGGAGAGTGAAAGTGAAAGGGGATGATCGAGTTCTGTTCTTTCTTCTTCTTCTTTTGCTTCTTTCTTCTTCTTCTTCTTCTTCTTCTTCTTCTTCTTCTTCTCCTCCCCCTTCTTCTTCTCCATCATCATCATCATAATCATCATTTTTTATTTTGTCATGGTCATTTTTAGTATTCAGATATCATGGTTTGATACAAAGGATATCTTTGACTTGATATCCTAAACTTTTGTTCGGACCTGTAGAAATATCATTCTTCCCCCGACCTCTCAAACTATGATCGAGTATCTAGAACTCCGGTCAGTTGGTATGTACACCAAATGTGAACAAGGGATTATGGATCATAAGCGAAGATGGGTTTTTTTTAACAATCAGAGTGATCATAAGCAATCAATAGGAGGGTGGGGAGGAAAGGTGATTATGGGTATACATGAAGTTTATGGAAAGAAAAGATTCAATGCCAAATTTGTTGTATGCATCTTCAACTTTATATCACTTTCAATCATCTTCCTTTTTATTCAACTAAATACTTCAACCCCCATCCTACCCCACCTTATGATACTCTAACACCCACCCGAGCGGTGATTTCAAAACGAGCAATGACGGAGGATTTGAATATGAGCCTAGCAAACAGTCTAAAATTGTAAAATATCAATCACAATGGTAATCCACATATATCACAATCAGTCTTCCCAGCCTCATTAACAAAAGTACAATGTGGACAAATCTTTTCTCCCCCACCTCCAACACCTGTTCCTGCTCCCACACCAGTACCATTCGTTGAAGCAGTAGAATTGTTTGGTAAAGGAGAATCTATTCCCATTCTATCAAAAGCGGCAGAAGGGATACTTGAAGTGTTAGATTGAGGAGGTGTGGAAGCTTCTGTAAAAGATGATTCTACTATTGTCAAAAGGGTTTGCCAGCCTGGTGTTGATAGAAGATGATTGATTTGCGGTATAGATGTTGTGGAAGAGAGGTGTGATACGGATGTGAGACAAAGAAGTTTTTGTTCTTCCTATTGGAGTCAGTGTGGTTCTATTTGAGATAAGACAATCCTTCAATCACATTCCTAGACTTAGAAGACAGAAGATCTATTTGATGAGAGAAAGAGGAACATAGGCGAGGGGCGAAGGATGGTTGGAGAGTTAAGGAAAAGAGGGGGGGGGGGGGGGGAGATAAGAGGGCAAACGGATGGTGGTAACTTACAAGAGAAAATAATCCTTGCATACATAAGAAACAAACCAAATGCCAATCACTTAACCATCTTCCGATTCCAAATTTGGTATCATCTTCCCATGTCTCTGGAGCAGATATCAGTCGTCCACGAAGAAGCTGGCCAAGTTGACGAATCACAACGTCGAGGGATTGATCTTGCAACCCTGGACGATTTTCTATGGGGAATGAGTTGGACAAGAATAACGGGGCGGGGTCAACTGGGAAACCATGAGTTATCTGAGAGTCAATGAAGGTCCAAGGGGTTCTCTGCAAGCATATTTGTGACTGATATGACGAGCTCGTCCACAAGGAAGGGCCCGGGGGATCATAAGTCAGAGGTAGATGATATGGAATGTAGAGAAGCGATAGCCGAAAGTTTGGTGGGAAACAAGCTCACTCACATTTACGAAGAGATACTCGACTGGAAACGTTGGCTTGGCAGGCATTTTCACTTGTATACCATATTCATTCTTGAAACTGAAACCGTCAGCACCACAAACAAATCCAAGGTACCCACGAGAACCTAAACTCACCTGTAGAACACTTCTGGTATATATTCCCCTTCTCCAGGCGTTCGGACTCTCACAACACCCGGATCCACACTAGCTTCCACTATTCCAGCTCTGACCATAGCTTCAGCTTGTTCAGTAGCTTGCCAGGCGATCACGTCGATGCCACCCTCTTGTGTGCCGGTCAGACAACATGTGACGAATCTTGATGAGAAGGTTCCAGTGGGAGAAAATCTCGTCGGTAAGGGATGGGCGATCTGGTAAGAAGCTGAAAGAAGCATTTCGAGAGATGTGGCAGTGTATGATTGAGCGTGACGTTTGTATAACAGTCGTGTGATGTCTTCTGGTTCACTGTGGAATTAGCTCAAAGACTTTCTCCCAAATCCACACAATCAGCTATCTATGTATCGTGTCGTAAGCTTCGATAGCCCTGGAGTGCTCACATACGTTGAGATGTGATGAGAATGATTGCTGCACTCGACTGAAAGAGCACTCACGGAGTCAAATCAGTGTATATCATCCCCACCACTCCCAAACCTTTAGCACACCACCCCGCAATCTCACTGACACGTTCTTCATCCTCCCATGGTATTTCCACCGTCAACCCATCCACTTCACCTTCCTGTCTAGGCTCCCATATCGCTTCCACAACAGTTTTTACACCCATGGGTACTTTTTCGTATTTGTCCCATCTACCGATGAGGAATCCAAATCTCTGCATTCCAGTCTTTCTCCAAGCGAACAATAATTCGTCGATCAGTGTAGGAGTAGAAAACTCCACATGGTCCACCATCCTGAATGTCTGACTGGATAAGGTCAATGCCGAAGGCTGACATGTTGAACAGATTCCAGCTGGAAAGGGAGCGTGGCTACCTGTCGGACAAGGCGTCTGAACCGATAGTGACAAGGGTGTGAGAGGTGGAATATCTGACGTCGAGTTTGGTGGACGGGAAGAAAGAAGTTTTTTGAGATAAGAATGATAGGAAAGATGTTTGATTTGATTTTCAGCTTGATATTTCATATCATATGGCTGTCACATCAGCTGTGTCCATACTAAACAAGTCAATGATGACGGAAAAAACTGACTTCCAGAGGCATACAATAATCACACATTCCTTTTTCTCCATGACGACAAAATTGCGGATCAAACTTTCTCTCGATTTTTCCACTCTGTTTCTCCCAATATTGGTCTATCTCCGGTTCCACCACGTGCGACAGATCCTTGAGGGCCACGGTGTGGTGTAAGGGAGGGTCGGTGATAGTATGAGGATGACTTGGATCTGGTTGAGTGGGAAGAGAATTTGATGTAGAAGCTTCTGTCGTAGGATGGGAAGTTGAGTCAGCTTCGAGTGGTTTATACGACATGAATAAAAGGTCTCCGTGTCTATTCAGTCAGCAATCAAAATCGAGGCCGCCTCGTGATTATATACTTGAGGCATGAGACTCTGGATACTCACGAGAATCCCATGTCTCCTACTTTACGTCCAATGAGCGCTTGGAAGGGTACGAGCTCCCCACTGGAACCAGGCTGGTTGCTCAATCGAAGGGTTGAAGGGTCCGGTTGTGGGTCAGATTTTGGAATGGTACCCAACATCAGGTTGGCGAAATCTTCTCCTGAGGTATTGGGGTCTACGGTGACACGAGCAGTTCCCGCTGGGGAGCGGATACGTAGAAGCTGAACCATCAGTACTCAGTACTATGTCTGCCAAATTGCATAAAGAGAAGCGGACTCACCATGATGACCCGGCTGACGATGAGTGGCTATGGGCGAAACGGAGCAAGATGGCGTCTACTTGAGGATAAGCTTTGGAAGCAAGTACGCCGTACTTGTTCTCAACAGCGAGTCAAGCTGTCACTCTCAACGAATCTGACCTGCGAAGACTTTTGATTAGAGGAAAGATACAAGTAAGTAAGCAAAGAAGAGCTAAGCTTAGCGGATGGACGATGCGTCATGACGCAGCGTCTGCACTACAATCATCCACGGAGATTGCTGGATCTCCGTTTGCCACCCTTCCCTTCTCCCTCCCCCTCCTCCACCACACAAAGTACCGTACTTACCTGCACACTTCTACCGCTTGCGAGGTAAACCAGCGGTGACGATGCCACGCTTACAAATCCTCCAGTATGTTATATCCCATGTATCTGGTCAGAAGCTGATGTGAAAGACATAAATCCTATCATCCTTACCTGGAGAAGAACAAGCAGCGCGTGAGAGAAGATGAAGCCAAGGCAGCTGCTGCAGAGTTGGAACAAGAGCAAAAGCGGATAGACAAGGTGTGTCACGTCTTGAAACCATCTCATCGAGTCCAGGCTCATGTACCTCTCATAACTATCATAATCTCTAAGCATCAACATTGCTCATACATCAGGACTCCACCGCCCGTCTGGACTACTTGCGGCGAAGGGCCGGTTCTCCAACCTTTGCTGTCGACCCTTCCGCCGCCACTGGTCTTTCAACAGGGTTGGAAGAGGACATTCTCCCCTCCACTTCAACTCATAACGACAAAGGAGAATCTTTGCTCGAACGGCATAGGAAGAAAAAGGCTCAGGAAGAAAAACGTGAACGAAAGAAACGGGAGAGATTGGATTTTGATTTCCCTAAGCCTGGTCAACGAAGTGATTATTTAGATAAGGACCGACCCTTGCAAGAGGATGGTCGTGATGAATGGACGAGAAAGAGAGATGATGATGGGAATGGAGATTGGAGATGGGATAAAAATGGTCATATCAATTTCTTCACCGATTTGGAGCAGGTAAGTAGACCATGTCTCTCCTTGATGGACAAGTCCTTGTCACTGACGAACAGCCAGATGAAGATAAAGAGCGACCGACTTTGACGGAAATAGCTAAGAAAAAGCAAAAAGAAAAGGAAGATCCATTTACTATGTATCTCGCCAGACCAGAGAGGGAAACTAAGCCGTGGTATACGGACAAGGAGTTTAAGCGTGTAGAAGATAAAGAGACGGGTGAAGAGGCCGAGCAACGTCGTGCTAGGGATAAGTAAGTCCACTCAGATGTATTCCCATTCCCCACTCTCCTTTTAGTCTGAGATAGTAGAGTAAGCCACTGCGCGTCAAAGTGTCTTTTTTTTCCTGACCGATCGTGAGAATTAACTCTGTAGACGAAAAGATGTACGTAGCAAACATCGCCATGATCCACTCTCCTTAGTCGACTCTCTACTCTCTTCACAACCTAAACCTCATCCCACTACCAACAATAGACCATCGATCGGACGCCAAGCCGAAAGGGGAATGTCGGAACGTGAGAGAGCTATGGCCATGTTGGCGCAATCCAAAGGTGGTAGTCAGAAATGGGACGATACGCCCTCGAGCGTCGGAGGAACGTGGGGGGATCGTCTGGAGCGTGAGAAGGATAGGGCGGGAACATTCTTTGCCAAAACGGAGACTCCGAGATGGGGAGGGAAAAGTTGGGAAGTGTGAATTTTTTCTCACTTTTCCCATGCATACAGCTCGCCGTAGGGTTACCATTGTGTGAACGGTAGTCAAGTTGGTGGCGTTGGGAGGATCTGATTCCATTTGAACCTTTGTGCCGTGCCCCCGGCAATGTGGTCATGTTTCCGTATCATGAGATTTTTGTTAGTAAGATTTAAAACCGAGGCACCGGGAGTGGGTAGTCACCTTAGCGAATCACAACCTTCTCTGGCCTCGCCCTATCACCGTGCTATGGCTACCTACCTACCTACCTACTAGCAGTATCGTAATACACCCGCAGTCCGGTCCTGCATTACTTTTGTACATACATATATCACCGTACATTATACATCATCTACTTTTTCACCCACTCATTCATCTTTGTAGCCCAGGTGGCCACTTTGGTTTCTTCCTCTTTCAATCGATCGAACGGTTAGTCACGCGATCGAGATCATGTCCGACCAATATCAACCTCATGACACTCACGATGGCCACGATGGACCGAATGGGACGGCAGCTACAGAAATCCGAGAAGAACCTATACGGAAACGACCAAAGTTGGAACAGCTACAATCATGGATTTCGTCACCGAAAAGAGAACAAGAACGACCTATGAGACTAGTGATCAAAAACCGTATGTTCATATCCCTTCGAACCTCTCTGTATCGTATACCTCCCTGCTCTGATTCCCACTTCGAGTTGTCGTTGACGCTCTCCTATCTCTCAACGGTTCACCAACCGCCCGCCCGTTCACTTTCTGTTGTACCAACGATGTACCATGTGATGTCTCAGAAGTCATAAATATGACACACAGATTTTATAGCTATGATAGGAGAATACACAGGTACTGTCCTCTTCCTCATCTTTGCTTTGGGAGGAACGAAGTAAGTCCCTTTTCGCCCTCGTCGATCATCGATAAGCATCACACCAACTGATCGTAGCGTGGCTTTGATCCCCAACACGAGTGTGACGGGCGACACCACGATTGGACAAAGCGGATCGACCGCTTCCACAGTAAACACCTCGAACTTGTGAGCCCTCTCCTCTCTACATCGTTCATGCTACTGCTGATGTTCAGATTGTATATCGCCCTATCATTCGGATTCTCTTTGGCTGTGAACGCATGGATCTTCTTCCGTGTCTCTGGAGGGTTGTTCAATCCTGCCGTGTGAGTAGATATGAATTCGCGGGCAATCTTTTTCTCCTTCTGCCTTGATTCATGATCCGCCTTCTTGCGCCCTACGCCCCGCCACGAGGCCCCATTTGAGGGGATCTCAATGATCAACCATGTGACCTATCGCCCTGTCCGTCTTTCCGAGGCACTAAGTCACCGATCATGATGGAGTACCTTCGAACGATCGAAAATAGGGCGGGAAATTGATAGAGAGACAAGAATTGATTCGCAGGTCGCTTGGTATGGTTCTGGTCGGTTCTATCACACCCGTTCGAGGAGTCCTCCTCTCCTTTTCTCAGATATTGGGGGGAATCACCGGAGCCGCCATTATACAAGCTATCACACCTGGTACTTTGTCAGTCATAATAAAATATTATCCGCTTCCACTGATGAAGCAGAAACGTCCGTACGACTTTGGGAGGAGGGACAAGTGTAGCTCAAGGATTATTCATCGAGATGTTCCTTACCGCCTTGTAAGTTTCCAAGATCTCGCTGCTGTAAGTACCGAGACTGAAGAAGTAGGTTGATGTTGGCCATCCTCTTGTTGGCTGCGGAGAAGCATGCGGCGACTTTCATCGCCCCTATTGGTATTGGGCTAGCTTTATTTGTGAGCCTGAATAATCCTCCCTTCAACACCCATGCTATACTTGCGGTCCGTCTGTTGTTTTCCTTGTTAGTGTTTCTCCCCTCCCAACAGGCTCAAGATGTAATCTTGAGGGAGAGAGTAGGGGGGGACCGCTAGGCATCCAGCTTCGATACGCTGTGCAGATGCTGATATCAGATCGCCGAATTGTTGGGGGTTTATTATACCGGCGGTTCTCTCAACCCTGCGAGATCATTTGGACCCTCTGTCGTGCTCAAGACATTTGAACATTATCACTGGATCTACTGGCTCGGACCAGCCATGGGCGCTGTGATAGCCGCTGGGTTCTTCAGAATGCTCGTGAGTTTTGCCCTTCATCTCCTCCTGGCTTCAATCGCGATCAATCTGTCTTGCGCCTTCCTTGAAATTTCGTTACCCCTCGCTCCCAGATCACCGTCTCATCAAACTTCTCCTTGTGCTACACAATTCTCAGGCGGGCTCAATGTCAGTTCAAGGTTAGCTGATTGGCAGAAATTCCTACAATACGAGACTGTACTCGGTCCGGATGCTGATGCAGGTGGTCCCGCGCCAACTGTGGTCATTGTCACTGGCAGGGATGACGAGGAAAAGAAGATCGGCATACCGTTAGCGGGGAAGAATGTAGCTGTTTCTGGTCCCGACTTGGATCAGCTCTTACGACAAGTTAGCAACCCCATCTCGGTAAGTGCTCATTTCCACCTTTTCCGCCTGCATGTTCCCAACATCTATGGACATCCTGCCCCATCGCTTTCTGTTCTTTCCTGATACCTCCTACAATACCTACATCCCTCTTGTCTCCACTCCGATGCAATCTTGGTCCATGTGAGAGACTGGAGCTCACAACCAGGCCGCACACATGGAACGTTCTCGATCCCGAGGTAAAGACGACGTGGAAGATCGTTTAGCTAGGATTGAAGCCATGCTCCGACGTATCACCTCCCCTCCCGCCTCCCCACGCTCAGCTCTCAAAGAGCGATTCGATATCAATCCAGGGGGACATTACGCCGTGACGGGAGATGGTAGGTTGTCCGATGCTACCATGGTCAATAGTGCCGCTAGTGGATCGAACGAAACGGGAGTGGCTGGACAACCTCATGCCGAGTTGGGAAGGAGGATGTAACAATCACCGAGGAGCTTCTGAACACTGTGAATACCGTCTCAATATTGCTTATTAATCTTTTAATGTCAGATAGGTGTAAATCTATGTGTATAAACATCATAACTCGCGTAATGGGCAGGAGGGAGAGGAGTGTAGGCGGATCATCGGAAACGTGTCAATCCGTGAACATATTGTGGATTATCATCTTTGTGTATCTATCTGTTTGAGAAATGCATCACACCCTGCTATGTAATGTTGCCATGCAGCCAAGAGGCCCTCGTGTGGAGCAGTACATTTTGTCCCACGCTTTCTTTCCCCACGACCGCAGCGGGTCGGAGTACGTATCGTTCACGAGGATTAGAACTCCGAGGGAGGAATGTCCGTGCGACTCCAACTCCACCCATCTCTTCCCTCCCTGTTCAAACCACCTTTGAAACCTTTCCTCTGATGATCCCCCAAGCTTCTTTTCCTATGTGTCATAATCTCACCTATACTATCCTCAACCTCTGATGTCCTGCCAAGTATAAAAATGAAAGGATATCTTGAAATATGAGAAATACTTTTTGTGTCTCTGATCATGGGATATGTTTAAAACCGCCAAAAATCCCCCCTTCTTTCCATAAGCAACTTTCTTTCGATTCGTATTAATTCGCCAACAACACTCTGGTTGATAGTGAATATGACCATACGTTCATATAGTCTTCTCTCCCTGTCCCCATATCCATCAGGGGGAACCTCGGGAAAGAAACCATCCGTAATCATCAAACAAGGGGATTTTTTAGCGTTTGACGAGTTTAAGAGTGAAGAACTTGTATTTCATCCAGTCTCATATTCTTGGAAAAGCACCGCTAGACCAACTTATAAAGTCAATAGTATTTTCAATACAAGTCCAAATAGATTGAAAGCCATGTACGCTGCATCTTCTGAGTTTGGCCAAATAGGTAGAATTTATTGCTCTGACAATTCCCGGGTGAATGGTATAAATGAGAAGAGCTGGGGGACGGATAAACATGCAAAAAGAATCAATCAAGCTTGTGAGGTGGTACTTTCACAATCAAAATGGTACCGTGTTGAAGAGGTCAAAGGTGACTTTATCAGCTTGGTTCCAATTCAGGAGCCTTCTGAATGTAATGTTGTTAGACCTTGGGAGCTGGCTAAAGATGTTGGTCACAAGCAGATTCTACCCCTCCTTCGATCTTCACAATCAAAGTCAATACCCATCTCAGAAGGTAAACTCCATGTTATAAGTATAAACAGATTGAGTATGCTCACGAGAATGGCACCACACTCAAAGGAAACCTCAGCTTGGTCAAGTCGTGGGACCAATGATAGCGGTACGGATGTGTCAAGTTCTCGGACATAAACTTTCGTTCGTAAACTATAACCCTTTTGAGAGTCGATGTCGGTAAATGAGTAGATTAGGATGATTTGGAAAAACCATCAAGAATCTTTGTTATTCATCATTCACCACTTCATTATCCTCTGAGACTCCTCTCACTCTCCTCCAATTTTCTTACCGAGGGTGAGAGGAAATGAACATGAGTGATTTGGCACATGTATGTGGATATTTGCAGTTTTACTCCCTCTGCATTCACAGTTTTCCATTGGCAGATAGCCTTTGAAAGGCTACAGCAACAGATGACATCTTCCTCAATGGTCTTGTCATTATAGGAGGAAATTCGCGCGACTTTCATCTCACTCGTTCTTGAGCCCACTTCTCACCTCACCTTTCATATACCTGATCTGATGGGGATATAGATTGATTGTTCTAGACCTGTGGCAGTGCTTCACGCCTTCTTTTATGCACCTCAGCTTCAGTCTCCGCCGCACTGCCTCGTAGAAAGGAGCGTTGATTTACGTGAGACTCTCCTCCTGCCTCTGATGGGGATATAAATCACTTGAGTAAGTCTCATCTTTGTTCTTCCAAACAACTTTCATCATATTTGCCACCCAGAGCACTGAGTTACAGTATGGACATCGCGAATTCCAGAGGTTCCTCTTCACCCCTTAGCTCCCTTACCCCTACCCCCCCTCCCTCAGAACCAGCAGAAACAGGAAACGGAAATAGTACAGAGGTTCGGGTCGGGGATGTCCTTCTTCTGGCCAGGTTTGAGACGACCAGGCTTCGGTGTGACCCAAACTCTCGATTGTGGATTTCAGGTCCCGAGTCTGACAAAAAACAGATCTATAGCGCTTTGGATAACCGTTCATCACTAATGGCCATGTACAAGGCAGTGTTCATTGACAGATCAGGTAAAATCTTCCGGAAGCAATCCCAATCTGCAGGGGTCACAGCCAGAGACTGGGTAGGGCAGGCAGATTCGGATTCAGTTGCAGCTCTGGAGGTGAAGTTCAAGGACTGGAATCCATATGTAGTCGAGCAGGTGAGAGAAACAGAGGTCGAACTGCGGCGACTGAAGGTGAAAGACGCAGGCACAACATTGGTGAACATCAAAGCATTAGACCCCTGGGATATTGAGACTCGTACTGGTACAAGAGGGCTCTTGCCTCAGCAGGGTATTCCTCCTGGGACAGAAAGAGTACGAAAAGTCGAGACCCTAGGACTTGAAACATTGAATGCACTCTTGGAAGGCAATTCAATTCAAGGCCCATATTGGCCAATCACAAGTGCCGGAAACAAACAGAACAACAGTACGAGTAGCGGTCAAACGATCTCAGCGGCAACAGTAGCTGGGGCAAGTGATCAGTCATATTGGGAACAAGTGAAGCCTGGCAAAACGGTTGTCAGTGTGCCTTATTACCGTTTGACTCTAGCTCGCAGAGACACTCTAGATGGAGAGTGGAGAAAGCTCAATAAGGAGGAATACGATGGTGAGACGTGGATGGACTCAGAGACAAGAAGTACCCGCAACTCAGAAGTAGTTTTCTGTGATGATGGCAAAGTTCAATGGCCAGAACTAGCCGCGAAGTTATATGAGGTTGTTGTTTGTGATACCCACATATATGAAAAAGAAGATAAAACGGGTCAAACAATATTTTACATGGATCAGGAGGGGACTATCCAGTCTGGGGAAGAGGGCAACACGCGCAAGTTGGCTGCGAAGTTAGGTGGATGGATATCCTTTCGCTGCATCACAAAAGACCGTGTGACTCTTGGTCTTAGAAAGCTAGAACCTAACGACAAGAGAGATCTGAAAAGACCCCGTTCCCACGGAGCCGCATCCCAGACTTTGGACGGCCATATAGGAAGGTGGCACTTCAGCACTTATATGGAGTCAGACAAGATCATTCCAGAGACTGATAGGGTGGTCCGAAAGGGATACTTTGATCGAGCTTTAGGATGGGATGGGGCCTGGCCATCAGGAGCCCCTGGGACTCCCACTGCATAATAGTTCGTCATTTGTTGCAATCAACCCCAAACCTATGAGAGGCGGTATCTTGACCATACCAGAGTTTCTGCATGTCAGTATGATTTGAGTTGTGATCTTTTGCCATTATGATCAGCCGTGCGTTTACATACGTACATTACCTCTTTGCACTATCTTTGCACGGTCATACACGCCAGCGTGCACGTAATGACGACAGCACTTGGGATGAGATTATCGTCAGGTGTAATCGTCCTCTTTCGCGCTGAGGGCGGTGCACAGTACAGATTTGATGATTGGAACGATGTACGTTCAGGAACTCGGTGCCCTATCACCGAAAGTGTTGGGTGGTGGACATACAACGCATGGGTTTTGTGATCAACTTGCTATGGCACAACGTCCCCAGATTGCCCACTAGGTTATTGTTGGTCGATAGAATCGGCCGGGGACGGCCGAACCGACATTAGAAAATTACCCCTTCCGTGGAATAACCCGTCACTCAACTTATCCTCTGAACTTTATTCAATCGTCTTTGGTTTCCTGCATGTGAGTGGAATGTGATAAGTATAGAGACATGTAGAATTGATGCATGCTCTTTTCCCCCTCTGTATTATCATCTAATTATCAGCAAACAGATCAACAGTCGGAACTCCACATACCTCTGTGTATAACTAAGGCAAGTTCCTATTTCTACTCTACTCATAATGACCTCAGTGTCGTCAAAGATCTCTCTTGATAACCACCCTAAGTTATCCCACGATTGCATCATATGCTCCGTGGAGGAAGTCAATCGAGGTGTATCTACAGATAGGTGACGTGTGGAATATTGTCACAGGTAATGATACGGAACCTGGTCGCGTAGGGGTTAGGCGGTACAAGGATCGTTGGAGAAGAGTTGAAGGAATGGGAAAAGTGGCAAGCAAGGGAGAATAAAGCGCAGGGGATGATCAAGGGGACAGTGTCGGACGCTGTGATGCTTGATTTATCTGAGAAGATGTCAGCTAAAGAAATGTGGGATTATTGTGTGAACCTGCATGTGACAGCCACAATTGAGAATCAGAGGAACGTCCGTCAAGCATTGTTTAGCTATGACTTAAGGGACAATGCGACAGCTGAAAAAATGGCTAAGCATGTAGACGAATTCTCGAAGACGATGGCTGAAGCAAAGTTGGTTGGATTGATCTTTGACTCACAGGAACGAGCCGGATTATTCCTCAACACTATCCTAGCACAGTCCTACAGGATCATCCATATGGAAGTAATGATTTATCCTAAGCAGGATAGAACCTGAGAAAAGGTCTTAATGATCTTCAACGCAGAAACAGCGCGACATACGGCGTGCCCTGTTGGTAGGACCAATAGAAAGGGATTTGCGATGTTGGCCAAAAGGGATAAAGGAATGAGGGTGAACCAAGATAATCTCTCTGATGGTCAGCCCAGGAAAGGAACTAGAAAGTGTTCTAACTGTGATACTGTAGGACATCTAGCGAAGTACTGTCGTAAACCTAAAAGAGAGGATACGAACAGGAAAGAAAACGCAGATGGAAAGGATGGAGGTAAAAAGAAATGGAGGATTAACTATAAGAATAATAAGAAAGGACATACGGTCTCGAAGGATGAGAACCAGTCCAAAGATAACTCCAAAACCTCCTTGATGTATTCGTCATTGGATGGTGAACATGAGGCGCAGGCCGGGATGGCCATGTCGACAGAGTCATGGTTCGATGATGACGAAGGGTACACGAGTAACATTGTATGGCCCGAAGAAGTTGAAAACCCATGGGTTGAGGATAATGAGTGGGTTGGACTAGCTACAGAGTCTAATGACGTTAGCCACACTCGTGTAATCCCCACCTGGGTAGTGGATAGTGGTGCAACTCACCACATAACTCCTCACAGGTCGATAATGACCAATATTAAAAGACTAGCAAAACCGAGAGTATTCGGACTAGCATCTGGCAAGTCAATGACGGCTTGGGAAACAGGTAATATTAATCTCGAACTAGATTCAGGACAAAAGATGGTACTGAAGGATGTACATCACATCCCCACAGCGAAGATAAGTCTCCTCTCCCTATTGTCACGGCCGTCGAATAACTTCTCTCTAACAGACCAAAGGTCAACGAACCTCGGCTGACTTGACACTACGGCTTCAATGTCTCACCCAAACAAAGGGGGCAGGCGTTGAAAGGAACGTACGACGTACTTCGACGTAATTACTCTGACTGGGGTTTTTCTCTGATGGCGATGTATCTCGATTTGTATGTAGCTATCTCTATCAATTTTTCACTACTGACAACAATCAAGGATCGCTGAAGAAGTTCAGCGATCTGTAAACTATCTATACTTCTCCTCTCTTCTCATAGAACGTCCTTCAACTCCTGCACAGCCTCACGCTCAGTCCTCTTCGCTCAACTTTGCCGTACCTTGCCATATCCCCGATATCCTACTCCGCTCACTTCGACTAACTTTGCCTAACTTCCCCTACTCTGCTCTCACACGGTTTCCTTCTCCTAACTTCGCCGTAGTTCTCCGTTAGGCCGGGTTGTCGTGATAAATGCTCCCTAGGTTCCCATCACTTCGTGTAGTTGGTCTCAGTGGTTCGGGGTGATGGTGAAAGGAGGGTCGGTGATGGTTGTTGATGGTACCACCACCACCAGTCGTATGTACAACCCCGAGAAACTCCGCCGCGAGACCAAACCCGCGGATACCTCTCTCTTTTATGCATCCTCTCTCGTCTCACCAAACCAACAGATTAACAGTCGGACACTATCACTGTGTATAAACTTAGCCATCCACACACCTAGACATCCCTCCTGCCATTACCTTCTCACTTCGTGAGTGTTACTGTCCACAACCTGGGGGGCCACGAGGGCTTGTCCGGCTGCCAGGGTTTGTGGGATAGGCAGGTTGGGTTGTGGGTGTGCGGAGTGCGCGCCTGCGGAATAAAGAGACAAACGAGACGGACTGAGGCCTCACGGCGGAAGTCAACCAAAGCTTCAGGCTGCGGTTCAGAGGAGATCGGTCGAGACGAGCGGTCGAGACGAACGATCGAACGAGATCCGAAAGTGAGCGAGCGATCGCGAGCGATTACGGTCGAGTCGAGTCGGAAAGCGAGCGAGCGATCGCAAGCGATTACGAACGAGATCAGATAGCGAGCGAGCAATCGCGAGCGATTACGGTCGAGTCATTGAACGATCGAACGATCTTACGATCATCAGTGGTATAGTGATCGTAATAATACTTGTAGTTACATCATCAAGTACTTGTAGTTAAAATCAGTCGACAGTACATAGTCGAGCGTGATACTTACAAGGGGATGGTACGGGTCATAGTACTAGTCCAGTAGAATCTTGACAGGAGAAGAGTAGATTAGGAGACGGGAAAGGGCGTAATTGGTTGGATAGTAGGGAGCGAAGGACAGTTGTAGTTTACTGCGGCGGAGACGTCTTTGAGACGCATACCTATGGGCTTGCCGGTAGAAGGAAATCCAGTCCAACCTGGTGGCGGCTACTACGTTGTAGTACTCGCCTAGCGCACGATAAGTCTTTCTTGAGAGTCTATTTTTGATCTAGAAGACGAAGCTCACGTACATCAATATGAGCGAATATTTAGGAACCACACTCAATAACATTCCCATTCTTTCCAATGCCCACGGCTACTACGCGTGGAGCACACAAGCCCGACTTCACCTTACCATTGTCGGCTGCATCGGCATCATCAAAGGAACAGACACCGAGGCGTATCGAAGTCTCAGAGTCTCACAAGACATACGAGCGGGGTCTATGCCGCCTAGAGAGGACGAGATGGATGGTCCCAGGACATTGGGGACAGACGAGATGAAGAGATGGGATGAGTGGAGAAAGAGGGAGCTTAGAGCCCAGGGTGTCATCCAAGCCAGGGTAGATATGGGACTTTTGATGGAGATTCAAGAGTTATCTACGGCGAAGGAGATGTGGGATTGGCTGGAGAACGACATGAAGATAAGTACTCCTCATCATTGTTCTGCCATCGAAAGAAAGCTCCGTACTCATTTCCTCCCTTCCAATTCCTCGGTCAACAATCTCGTTAAACATCTCACCACATTCAACTCTCTCTTCTTTGAAGCCAAACATGCCGGTTGCGAGTTTTCCGATAACACTTGTGTTCAACTATTCCTTGATTCTCTCACCCGTGCTACCGACTTTGACATTGCTCTTCGTATCTTCCAACAACAATGCGGCTACCTTCATACATGGGATAATGTTAGGAAGATGTACCAAGGGGAGATTGCTCGAAGGGAAGCAAGGGGTGAAGGAGATGTAGTTGGAGAGGTGAATACGGCAATGCAGAAGGTTTCCCTGGAGCATGGTGCAAAAGGGAAGGGTAAACCTTGGTTCAAGGGAAAGAAAGGTGGTAATGGTGGTGGTGGAAAAGATAGTCAGGGTAAAGGTTAGAAGGATGGACTAAAGTGTTGGAACTGCAGGGAAAGTGGACATATGAAGGCGGATTGTCCGAGGAAGGAGGATAATAATGAGGGAAAGATGAAAGGAAAGGGAAAGGGTGAAAAGCATGCCGGAGAAGCAAGATTGGAAGAATTTGAGATAGGGGCTATCGGCAAAGACAACTCGTCAACCTCTACTTCCATTCCCGAATTCCTTGTTGATAGTGGATGCACCCACCATGTCTCCCCTTACATCCATCTGTTCACAAACCTCAAGAAACTTACCTCACCTGCTTATTCTCAGTTCCTAACAGCGGTAGAATGGTTGCGTCTTCTTATGTCTTAACAATGGAAGAGGAATCAAACTTCAAGACGTATTTTATCAACCCTCAGCTACAACAATTATCTTTCAGCATATACTCTGATAGATAAGGGGTGGAAAGTCGACCTGCATGACATGGTTTTGTCAAGAAACGGCTTGATCATCAAGGGCGAGAGACAGGGGAATTTCCTGTTTGTCCAGATGGGGATTGTTCACCACAATCCATCTCAACCAGAAGGCTTCCAGATACCTCAAGTAAATGAAATCAAAGCAAGAGCAAGTCTTCTGGAAGAGGAACATAAAAGACTGGGACATATTGGTCGTGAGAAACTCCTGAAGCTAGCAGGTGATGGACTACTACATAATTCGAGGGAGCAGCTGGAACAGGATACGTTCAAGCTGGAGGAATGCGACACTTGTCAAGCTCGCAGGGCAACAAGGCTACCCAAGGGGAAAGAAAGCCCGAGGGGGAAGGTAGATGCAGAGACGGTTCATGTCAATCTGGCCGGTCCTTTTGACCCATCCATTGGAGGAAATCGTCATTATCTGGCAATGATAGATGACTATTCTCGGATTGCTTCGGTGATACCCCTGCCTAATAAGCAGAATGTATTGATTCACCTGAAAGGGTTTGTCAACAAGTTGGAGAGGCAGACGGGAGGGAAAGTACGGTTTATCAGAAGTGATGGTGGACTGGAATTTGCCAGTGGACCAGCAGGTGCTTGGTACCACGAGACGGGAATTATCCATCAAGTTACTCCTAGGTACACTCCCGAGCTGAATGGAGTCGTGGAAAGGTTCAACAGAACTCTCAAGGAGATGACTGAAGCGATGTTGGCATCAGCCAATCTGAATAACGACTACTGGGATTGGGCGGTGAAATACGCCTGTTATCTCTTCATGAGGACGACCAGAGGTGAAGATGGTATCAATGCGTGGATGAAGTACACGGGTAGAGACCCAAATCTAAAGAACGCTTTGATGTTTGGGGAACTGGTGTTTGTTCAGATTCCCGGGGAGGTACGAGGAAAGTCAAGGTTAGATATTGACAAGGGAGAATTGGGAAGGGTCGTAGGAATGGATCCAGCAAAGAGTGGTTGGTACGTGAGGATGGAGAGTGATGGAAAGATGCTTTTCAGCAGGGATGTTAAGAGTGCTTCAGACCATCCCTTAACTCCAGAGAAGACGATCACACCCATTACTCCTCCCACGGCAGCAGTATCCAATCCTCCTCTACGACCTATTACAACTCTACCGGTAACACTTCCTTCCTCAAGAATGATACCTCCAGTACAACCAGCTCAGGTCGTGGTTGAACCTCTGGAAGAAGAAACAGAGTCAGTGAGTGTGAGGGAGAATGGAGGAGTGACAGAGCAGAGGAATGATGATGGTGTGGAAGGACAGAGGGAGACGGGATTGGATGTTGAGGCTACTCAAGAAACACCCACTCCCACGGCAAATCCTCTTCCAGCACCTATCCCTCCTGCGCCTGTAGCTCCTGTACCACCTCCTCCCCCACCTGTACTTCCTACTCAACGTAGTGCTCAAATTGCTGGACAAGTACCATATCAAGCAAACCTTGTGGAGAAATGGTATAGCAATATGACACGGGCATCTGCTATGGCGTCGGAGATGGGTATGGAAGAAGCAAATTCGTCACCGTCTGATGGACCTCAGACTGCTAGAGAAGCCCTTACTAGCAGGGATAAAGACGAATGGAAGAAAGCTATGCTCCGGGAACTTGACAATATCGAGTCAAAGGGAACATGGGAAGAAGCGTATCTTCCAGCAGGTCAAAAAGCTATTGCGTCAAGATGGGTATTCAATATCAAGAGAGACGTGGATGGTCAAATCGTCAAACATAAAGCAAGAGTTGTAGCAAAAGCTTTCTCCCAACAACCTGGGATTGATTATGAACAGACATATGCACCAGTGAGTAGGATGACGAGTCTTCGTCTACTTCTCACTATTGCGGCTACTTTTGATCTGGAACTACGACAAGCCGATGTTGCGGGAGCTTACCTTAATGGTGTTCTTGACAAAGAAGTCTACATGGAACATCCTGAAGCCATGGTACGACAGCGCAGTGGGACAGTACTGCGGTTGAAGAAGTCATTGTATGGGTTGAAACAGTCAGCCCGGGTGTTGGAACTCGGGAAAGCTCTGGAAGAGCAGGGTTTCAGGAGGACTGAGGGAGATTGGGGAATGTATGTCCGGCCGGCAGGAAAGCATGGAGGACTAGTGATTCTCCTGGCGTATGTTGATGACCTGGTCATAACTGCGAAGACAAACAAGGAGATTGATGGGGTTATGGAGAAGCTGAAAAGGAAATGGGTAATGACAGAAATGGGAGAAATGAAGCAGATTCTTGGCCTCAAGGTTACATGAGATCGTTTGAAGAGAAGATTCCATCTTTCTCAACCAGCTTACATCAATAAAGTCGCTTCCCGATTTCCTGGTCATTCACAACATTGTCCAATGACAGCTCCTTTCCCCACTCAGCATCACGATGAACCAGCAATCAGTGAAACCGATGAACTGGCACCTCTTTCCCCTTACCAAGCTGCTATTGGAAGCTTGATGTGGACATCGGCATGTACTCGGCCAGACATCAGCTTTGCGACAAACTTTCTAGCACGGTTTAGTGCTGCTCCCCTGTAAACTCATTAGCAACTTGCTCTACGAATAGTTGCTTATCTCAACAAGACACGAGAATACGGCTTGGTTCTTGGCGGAGAAGTGGGGAAAGGTTTAGAAGGTTGGGTGAACGCCAACTTTGCAGGATGTAAAGTGACACGGCGATCTACCACAGGATATATCTTCAAGCTCTGTGATTCAGTGATTAGTTGGATGTCAAAGGGACAAGGTTCAGTCACGACCTCAACATTAGAAGTAGAGTGTGTGGCAATGGCTGAAGCAGCAAAGGAAGCAAGATGGTTATCTGGGCTTGTGAAGGAATTGGTCAATTTCAAGGGAATAGTGACATTGAAATGCGACAAGAAGGGAGCTTTCGCGCTTGCTAATAACCCAGGTGTTCATACTCGGACAAAACACATCGAGTATCGTCACCATTTCATACGAGAACAAGTCTCAAACGGTCAAATTCAACTCGTCTATGTTCCAACCAATGATCAACAAGCGGATATTCTCACCAAAGCTTTGCTGGGCAAACGTCATTTGAAGAATATGGAGGATTTAAGGGTAGATGTTACGGGGTAACAACGAATCGAGAGAACTCTATCGAGTTCGACGGATTAGGATAGAGGAAAGCGGGAGTTGGAGGCAGTGCTGCAGTAGGTAGGGACGGGTTTTCCCCTTTCGAGATTTTCCCACTGGGTTTGCTCAAAGCGGTTTTTCACCTGTCCGAGTATGTACGTAGACGCTTGCAGCAGGAAGAGGACGAGGACAAGGATATCCATAGACAGTATATAGTACAATCAGCAAAGTACCAACTTTGCTGATTCTTCAATATCATTCTTTGGCTACATCGATTGCAGAGGAGACACGATCCATTAGCACCCGAGACTCTAGACTTCTACGAGACCTCCATCGAGTTTGACCCAACCTGCGACCTAGTTGTCGTGTTTCCAGTACCGTTACAGATTGCTTCAGTCAGAGCATCACAAGGGGAGCTCTTCTACCTGCGGGCCATCCTCAATGCTTACTCTGCCAGGTCTTTTGGGGAGCTCAAGACCGTGTACGGTGTAGAATACTGTACCTTCCAGGAGGCGGCAAGGATGTTAGGTCTGTTTGTGGCTGAGAACAAGGCACAGATGGCCCTCAGGGAGGGGCTGGCCAACTTTTTGACGCCTGCAACACTGAGGGGCCTTTTTGTGGACCTGCTCCTCAATGACGCACAGGGGCCTTGTCACGCCTGCGGGTAGACTGCGGTAGCAAAGTACTGCCTTGGATACTGAGGGGTTTTAGTCTCTGGCTCGTAGAGCTTGATGACTGCCTTAGATACTGAGGAGACTGAGATGTTGGGTTAGAAGCAACTGAGTGACTTATCAAACAAGGTTAAGAGAATTGAAAAGATACATTGCTGAAGAAAAGAAACTATGTAAGAAGTGTATGGGGTTTATATGTAATTCTGAGTCCATTCTGGGATGTGTGTCGTCCTGCGTAGGAAAGAGTTGTGGTTCTTGATCTCATGTGTATATTCAACCATGAATCAGAAAGCTGTGTGGTCTTTGCGACGTGATGCGTACAATACGCTGTTGACCGCATGTAGAAGCACGCATGACGACGTAAACCATACGTTTGCCTTGAATCTAACTAAACTGAAGTCTTGGGTCTAATGCCATACCAGGCAGACTAACTGAGGATAACTTAACTAACTAAAGGTTCAGGTCTCTTGCCTTGGAGGCATAAGAGCAGAACTAAACATGAACATACTGATACTTAGACTTTCTGCCTTGTGTGCACAAGAGCAGAGCTGGTGGTTCATGACAGGCCTCTCCTGCGGTGGGAAGAGTATGGGGAGGTGATGGCCCAGGATTTCAACCTCCATGCTCTTAACGATCTGGATAGGGGTAAGGAGAGGGCATTGCAGGAGATAGGAAGGATGCTGGGGGAGCACGGGAAGTCTCTGGCGGACTTTGGGCTGCCTGTACCCAACGACTTTGAAGGGGAGGTGGGTCATCACATCAGCCTCTTTGCAGACAGACGGGTGGAGCTGCGTGCTGAGGCCGTCATGAGGCTGAACCACTTAAACCCAGAGCAGAGGGTGATCTATGATGAGATCATGGGTGCTGTGATGGGGGGACGTCCCGCCTGCATGTTCATTGACGGGAAAGCAGGCAGGGGGAAGACTTACTTGGTCGCTGCTCTCCTTGACCGCCTGCGATCCAATGGCAAGATCCCCTTGGTGGGGGTGTCGGCGGCGTTCGCTGCTCTCCTGTATGAGGGGGGGATTACGATACACTCCCTCTTCAAAGTCCCTGTCAATGAGCGCAATGAGGAGCTGGCGTCAATGGTCACCCCTCACTTCCGCGTGCGGACCCGCTACAGGAGGTGTGCTGCTTGTTCTGGGACGAGGCCCCCATGGCCAACAAGACTGTGCTTGCCTGTGTTGGCAACCTGTTGCGTGACACATGTGATCCCAACCTGCCCTTTGGGGGGAAGCCCTTCATTCTGCTTGAAGACTTTCGTCAGTGCGCCCCGGTAATCAGAGGGGGGACAAGGGCTGAGATTGTGGAAGCCTCCATGCGCACTTCCTACCTTTGGTGTCACTTCACTGTCCACCGCCTCATCACACCCATCAGACATGCGGCTGGCATTGAACTCGCCAACATGGTTGACATGGTGGGCGACGGGACCACCCCATTGCAAGACGATGTGGTTGACCTCTCCATGATACCCACCGCACTCACCGGGGAGGAGCTCACCGACTTTGTCTTCCCTCATAACATTTGCTCAGATGCTGTGGCATGCCTCCACCGTTCCATCCTCTGCGCGACCAACCGCCAATGCGACCTCTACAACTCCAACATCATCTTGACTATCAATGGTGAAGAGCGTGTCAGCTACTCCCACGACACCATCAAGGAAGTGGAAGCTCTTGATACTGTAGACAGCCTTGCTCTACAGCCACATACACAGCGGGATGTTCTTCATGCTCAGACCCCTCCTGGAGTGCCATCTCATGTGCTCTCCAACAAGGTGAACACCATCATCCGCCTGCTCCACAACTTCTCCCAGGAAAGAGGTTTGGCGAAGATCGTGCGGCTGAAGGTGACAGCTGTGGGACATCAGACGGTGACCTGCCAGCTCATAGGTGAGGCCAATGGTGTTGGAATGCTTCAACCTCACACAATCCTCATCCCTCGCATCACTTTTGAATACCCCTTGCCAAGGAAGGGTTTCACCCTGCAGCGCAAACAGTTTCCTCTTGCTCCCGCCTATGCGACTACATTCAACTCCTGCCAAGGGTTGACTCTGCATCGAGTGGGGCTAGACGTTTCCAGCTCAGCCTTTTCTCAGGGCAAGTTATACACAGTGGTCTCAAGGTTCAGCAGAGGGAGGATGGGCGGGTGTACTATGGCAAGGAGGATACAGTGACTCAGAACGTCGTCTTTCGCCCACTTCTGCTTTGATCAAAATTTTCATACTTGGTTTCAGATGAGATCGTGTTGGAAACTATGCATCTCTTTGAATGACTCATCACCTGATAGGTGGCGCTCAAACAGCTAACATTGAGTGGCGGGAGCCCGCAAAGCGGGCAAAATGTGTCTAGTAGTATCAGATGGAGGGGTAGGAGGGTTAGAAGGTACGGGTGGGATGGACTCATCTCCTAGTACTGATCCCCCGGTACTATCCTCCGCCCCAAGTTGCTGTCCCATTGCTCTGCTAAGCTCTTCCAATGCCCTCCTCTCATTCTCTTCCATTGCTTCTCTGTCCCTACTATCTTCAATAGCTTGAGCAGGTGTTTCCGTAGGAATCCTATCCGAAGGAGTCTATACAACTGTAGTAGATTTGTGTACGGACACAGGTGATTGAGATTGTACACGAGTCGTAGGTACAGGTGTTGTTGCGACCCGTCCTTGTGAGACCTGAAGGACAAAGACGGAGTGGAAGATGAAGGTTTCGATGGGCTTGGACCAAGACGAACAAAGATGGTCTGTGGTACTGTGAAGTGATCAGATTGTAGTCAAGTCAAGAAAGTATAAGTCAAGAAGGATAGGATAGCTTGGAAGGATCAAGTGGTCAAGCTAGAAGGTATCAAACAAGTATGATAATTCTGTAACAAGTGCTCCCGAAGAGGTCTGATAAATATGAAATGCAAAAGATATTTTGATCCTTAGGAAAAAAAATCCATGGGGCCAACAGGGGGGGGGGGGGGTTTATATATCCTGCAGAGCGAGGTTATTGTTGAAGAGATTCCTCACCTAAGTCTTCACCAGAAGTTCAGTTACGTCATACTTTGAATCAAAACGTGATATCTTGAATAAAAGTGAGGCTTAAACCTCCATTCTCTTCTGCGAGACTTCTGTGAGACTTCACTGAGAACCTTTCTCTCTGAGGAATGGGCCGGACCCTTGGATGGGGATGTCATGATGAATAGGGTCATGACAGGTGTAGGAAGTGGACCAGGAAGGGGATCAGGAAGTGTTGTAGGAGTGACTGTAGTTGTATTTGTATTCACATTCGGTACCAACCGTGCGGGAACACAATCTTGTACCATAGTTGAAGGTCGAACGTAATCCTGTGCGCTTCACACATCACGACTAACCGCAATTGAACCATTCAATTTGTACTGTACGATCCAACCGCTCATACCTTCCTCTTGCCCTAAGACTCTTGCTAGTTCTCCTTTGTGGAAGTCAAGCTGCAACTTACCACGGACTTCAATCAGTATCTTGTACTGTCACAAGCCATGTCGTAACATCCCTGACAACTACCATCACCAACCCTCCTTTCACCATCACCCTGAACCACTGAGACCAACTACGACAAAGTGATGGGAACCTAGGGAGCATTTATCACGACAACCCGGCCTAACGGAGAACTACGGCAAAGTTAGGAGAAGGAAACCGGGTGAGAGCAGAGTAGGGGAAGTTAGGCGAAGTTAGCCAAAGTGAGCGGAGTAGGATATTGGGGATACGGCGAAGTTGAGTGAAGAGGACTGAGCGTGAGGCTGTGCAGGAGTTTAAGGACGTCCTAGGAGAAGAGAGGAGAAGTATGGAAAGTTTACAGATCGCTGAACTTCTTCAGTGATCCTTGATTGTTGACCGTAGCGAGAGATATATTCAGTAGCTACCACTTTTGAGTTAAGGAGGGCTACCACTCAGCAGTTTGACCCCTGCCGGCGAGGTTAGCCGCAGTTCATCAACGATCATCTTATTGTTTACCACTCGACGTACCTCCACGGCATAGTTAGCCGTAGTTCCCCATTGAGTACCCTGTCTCAGTGAGACATTGACGCCCCACGACAACGTAGTTAGCCAAGGTTTTTCAACCATCGGTCGGTAGAGAAGAAGAAACGACGATTGTGACACGCGCCTTGTGTCTTGCCGTTTCTGCGTTAAAGATTGTTAAGACCTTTTCCCAAGTTCTATCCTCTTTAAAATAAAACATTACTTCCATATGGATGATCCTGTAGGACTGTGCTAGGATAGTATTGAGGAATAATCGGGCTTGTTCCTGTGAGTCAAAGATTAATCCAACCAACTTTGCTTCAGCCATCGTCTTCGAGAAATCCTCTACATGCTTAGCCATTTCTTCGGCTGTTACATCGTCCCTTAAGTCATAGCTAAACACAGCTTGACGGACGTTCCTCTGATTCTCAATCGTGGCTGTCACTTGCAGGTTCACACAATAATCCCGCATTTCTTTAGCTGACAGTTTCTCAGATAAATCAAGCATCACAGCGTCCAACACTGTCCCCTTGATCATCCCCTGCGCTTTATTCTCCCTCACTTTCCACTTTTCCCATTCCTTCAACTCTTCTCCAGCGATCCTCGTACCTACCACTTGCCCTGCAAAGGGAGTGCTAAGAGGTACTGAACCGGCCCTCTCATCTGTCGGCCTAACCCCTACGCGACTAGGTTCGGTATCATTACCTGTGACGATATTCCACATGTCACCTATCTGTAGATACACTTCGATTGACTTCCTCCATGGAGCATACAATGCTGGATCGTGGGATAACTTGGGGTGATTCTCAAGACAGATCTTAGACAACACAGAAGTCATGATGAGGAGAGTAGAAATCAGAACTTGCCTTAGTCATACACAGAGGTAAGTGGACTTGCAACTGTTAATCTGTTTTGCTGATAATTAGATGATAATACAGAGGGGGGAAAAGAGCATGCATCGATTCTACATGTCTCTACACTTATCACATTCCACTCACATGCAGTAAACCAGAGACGATTGAATAAAGTTCAGAGGATAAGTTGAACGTCGGGAGTTTCGTGGTGGGGGAAAATCCTAATGTCGGTTCGGCCGGCCCTGCCGATTCTATCGGCTACCTGTCGCGGACGGCCACGCATGGTCGACACTACTCTGCACACTCCTTCAACTGGTAGTACATGGAAAATGATCCTTAACATGCATAATCTTAGTCTGTATAGTCCAGATATCTGTCTATGATAGACAATAGCCCATACACTCGTCATACTCAGATTATACTGCACCAAACTCACCTGGCACCTCGGTATCAGGAAATTGCGGCACCTCTTCCATATCCACATCCACTGACATAGAGGATTGTCCTGCACCTGTTTCTAAGGCTATCAGCCGCTTCTACTACTTGGATATGACTTACTACTTGAACCTCCTCCTCCCCTACGTCTAGACAAACCCGCAGATCTTTTTGCTTCAAATGCAGCCAATGTTTGTAGCGCTTTCTCCACTTTCCTGAGCTCTTGATCTTGTTTCTTTTTCTCCTTCTCTTCTTCCTGCTTCCTCTTCTTCTCAGCTCTAGCTGCAGCCACTGCTGCTCTTCGCACCCTTGTCTCTTCCTCCTGTTGTCTCTTCTTCTCTGCACGCTCCTCTGCAGCAACAGCCTTCAATCTCTCTGCTTCCTCCGCTTCTGCTTCCTCTCGCTCAAACTCCTCCCTTGCCTCTTGAAACTGTTGTGGCCCTAAGAATGCTACCCCACCTTCTGTTTGATCCGCTACATACTTTCGAGCCGTCTTCTTTCTCCTTGTGTGTGATATCGCCTGCTCCAGATTGTCCAACTTTGATTTCATGAGGTGATGATCCGCAGATAAAGACCGGAACGCCTTGTACAATTTCCCACTTGTGTTGTCAGGTGTGACCTCACCTTTGAGAATGAGTTTGACTGAACTGCTGGCGTTGAGGGGAGAACTGGGTGGATTGAAGAATGACTGAACCGCCCCTGCTCTTTGGGGGGTGGGGTTATCGGACGGGTGAAGACAGAATTGATTACCACATTACGATTCACCGGATGGATGCCCGCCTTCGCAAAAGCATGTCATATGGTGGATTCCAAGAGAGCATTAGCCCATGCTTGCTTGAAGATAAGGTAAAAGAGTGCTTTACTCATTCCCACTCTACCTTCCCAAGCGACAGACAGTTGAGTGGAGACAGTAGTGTAGTGGGAGGAAAGTGGTGAGAAGACGCCAACATCCAATGGCTGAAGACAATGGGTACTGTGTGGAGGAAGAATGCAGACCGCAATGCGAAGTGAATCACAAAGCTGCAGGAAAGTGTAGTTGACATGACTTGAATGTCCATTGACAATAAGAAGACGATGCCGTAGTTGTCTTGAAGCAGTACTTTTATCAAAACCTTCGGTTAGCCATTGAAGCCCAAGATTGTCATCCGTCCACCCTTTTTCCGAAGCAGCCATAAAGATCTCACTGCTTGGGAGAACCTCAGAAGTCCGGCTTTCGCATACCTGGCCGTATACCCCTTTGTAGATGAGAGCAGGAGGAAGGGCAGTGCTATCAGCGCAGATAGCAGCAATGAGGGTGACAAATTCTCGAGATCCATCTATGCGCGCTTTTGCCGGGTCGGACTTGAGTGTCTCCTCAAGGGGAAGTATCCGAGATTCCTTGTTTGTTTGACAATGAATCCTTTCTCATCCATGTTAAATATCGCCTCTGGCCCGATGTTGAGTTCATCACATCGACTCTCCAACTATAGCCATCAGCAATAGATTGTGAAAGCAGGTAAACTCACAATATCAAAGTATTCCTCAAAGATTGGTTTGTACTCAGCCGTAAGCCGTGATTTCTCCATCCCATGAAGCCTCATGCACTTGATTTGGTCCTTGTGTCAATCTATAAACCGAGTTGCCCACTTGCTAGACGGAAGGGTACCACAAATCTCGTAAGCCATGTTCCGCAGGATGGCAGGAGTGGGATAGAGTCGATGTTTTCCCAATTCAAGAACACGCTTTACTAGGACAGTGTCACGAAGTGACAAGATAGTCTGATAGTGATAGTGATAGGATGGGTTGGGTATCTAACCAGCAACCGGCAGTATGCAGTAACCGCCGGTTAATAGGCCTTTTAGTACAGTGGTTTACACCGCTGCCTCTGAAGGGCACTGTTACATCGTCCCAATGCTGGTTAGTTGGTCTCGTGACAGACAGCTTCCTCATGTTCATCAAGATGCGATTGGTTGGATCGACCATCAGGTGGGATTTCATGGAGGGATTTGTAGTAGTTGCAACTAAGGGTGGTGCGTACAACATTGTGTTCTTTGGCTATGGTGGAGAAGTTGGGTACTTTAGGAGGTATGACTTTGTGACAATCAAGTAGAGCAGCAGTTAGGGATTGTGATGGCATGCTTTTGGTACTTGTAAGAAAGCAATCTAAGGAGATATATGAAGAGACAACATGGAAAAAGAGAAGAACATGCATGCATTTTGGATGTGCAAAGTAGTGTCGACCGTGCGTCGCCGCCCGCGACAGGTAACACATCTCTCACCGAATCCTGACTTGATGGATGTTTCATGGGTAAAGTACTTCACGACTTGTCCTACGGAAAGGAGCCATTCAAGTGCAGAGGCATCCTTTGAAGTTTCCGGAGCATGAGGGTGAAACGTGTCAATCGTCGAGCCGATGATAGAGCGTAGTAGATAAGGGACGTAAGTATACATACTGTCAAGACGGCTCTAGGTTCTCGGGAGACAAGGCCTTGCTACTGACTAGTGCTTAGACGATCTATGTAGTTCAGACAGAGGAAGATACATTCTTCAAAGAGATAACTGATAGCTTCGAATAATGTATCTGCTGACTACGCTCAGGGACTCTTCAACCATAACTCCGTTGACCCTGACCTCCTAATACCGACGTGGCAGTCATGTTCATGACACATACCTCAGGTCACTCATCCGCTCTGTATGTGAAATATGCTTCATTCCTCCTCTGGCTTGCCTTTCACTCCTCTCTCTCATCTTCCGGGTCATGTAAGCGAAGTCGCTTCCTACCGGACTGCAAGTTCATGGACTCACCTGTATCTGCGACTTTGGGGAGCCTAGAATCTGGATTAGGCTTACCTGATCTCTCATGTTCAACTGGACCGGGGGTTTCATAAGTCTCTGTCCTCCCCACCCCACTTGCTATGGAGCCCATTGCCCGGGTGAACCAAATTTCCAACATCTCTCCTGTCTTTTGGGGATTTGCAACTGGTGTAAATCTAGCTTGTGGCATTCGCTCTTCAAGATCATCCATGTCAAAAACATGAATTCTCTTCATCATTCCGCGATGTTCTGCCTCTCCATCTCTGATGTGTGGGGGAGGGAACACATGATCCCCAAGTCCGGTTATCAAACTCAAAGAAGCTTCTGTTGCACTCTTATCTATGACCAAGTAGATCCGCCAGCCCGACCATTCCACCAGTCTACTGTTGAGGTTTTGGCAATCCTCTTTTTGGTCTTTCAGTAGCCACTTACCACTGGGTGTGGAGAAAACTTGACTGATCAGATCTTCGCTACTTGCAACAGACCGAAAGTAGATTTCTGCTTGTTCCTCTGTGAGACTAACATCTCTTTGCCCACCATCATCAATCCTCATGGTTTCAGTACCCCGTTTACACCATATACCTTCAACATTCTGATACAGTGGTGTCTCCTTGTACGTCGCACACCCCACAAAATGTTGTCCAGCCTCAAGATGATGGTAGGAAGTGATTTGTGATGAGTGAGTAGCAGTTGCTGTTGCAACACAGTCCCATTGGCGTTTCACTGGGCTCGAAGGGGAGGAGAGTGGCGTATAGAAATCTGTTCGGGGACTACTAAACCGGACATGAGTGTTCACATTCAGTGCGGGTCGTCCTCCCTGGGCAGAATGATCA